ACCCCGTTTACCGCACGTGCAACGCGGTGCTGGCTCCGCGCTGCGTCTCTCTCTCCGTCTCTCTCGCACCCCCGCGGTGTGCGGAGCGCCCCCGCGAGTGCGAGAGAGACGGAGCGACGAGGAATGGAGCTGCCGCTTTTCCTGTCGGGCTCCTCGATGACGTCGGGCAGCGCGTCCCGTCGGGACAGCGGAAAAAGTTTCATTTGATTCCTGGGGGTTCTTTATGTTCCCCGGCGGGGAGGGGGAAAGAGAGGGGGCGGCTGACATGCCGGCCGGCCTGCGAACAGACAACACACACTCGCATAGAGCTCACGCACACTGCTGCAACATCGACAACGACGACAACAACCGCGAAAACAACAACAACAGCGAGAGCGTGCATGTCACGCTCGTGCGGCCGAACCAGCGGCCCAGCCCGCAGGCAGGCAGGCAGGGGCGGCGCACAGTGGGCCAGAAGACCGGTGGAGGCGGCCAAAACCCTGGACGCGTTTTGAGCTCCTGAGTCGCTAAACAGGACTCGAACCGAACGTGTGACCCCACCAATGGATTCCTCGTGCGAAGAGCAATCCATTGGTGGGGTCACACGGTCGGTTTGAGTCCTGCATAGCGACTCTGGAGCTCAAAACGCGTCTAGGGTTTCGGCCGCCTCCACCGGTCTTCTGGCCCACTGTGCGGCGGACGGAAAATGATGGTGGACACGTACGTTGGTTCGGCTGCAAGCCCTGCAAGCCCTGCAAGCGGGGGTGGCGAAGCGACGGAAGCTCTGTCCTGTCGCGGTCCTGCACTGCAAGGGAGCGTTGGTCGTGTCCTACGGTGTACACACATGTCATGCGCACACTGCCGCCGGGTCCCGGCCGACTGCGCCGCACTGCGCCGAGTGTGGGGAAGTGGCAAGTAAAAAGTCGGCAAGCGGGGATAAAATGCCACATAAAAGCGGCAGCGTGTCCTCTTAGCAGTGCGTTTGATGGGCGAGGCCTCGTACCCCCACCCTCTCTGCGCTCGAAATGTCTTACGGTGCGAATTTTTTGTCTGTAGCGTCTACCAATCCTTTGTGGTTTTTCTTTGTAAGGTACTTACAAGAGAGAAGCTTCATGAGGAAAAATGGCTCCATAACACGTTTGCTCAAACTTTTTTGGACGGGTTCTGAGCTCTAGAGTCGCTAAATGGGACTCGAACCGATCGTGTGACCCCACCACTGGACTGCTCTCCGAACGAGGAATCCATTGGTGGGGTCACCCGTTCGGTTCGAGTTCTGTTTAGCGAGCTCAAAACGCGTCTGGAGTTTTGGCGGACGCCGGCGCTGGTCTTCTGGCAAATCCACCGTGCGGCCAACGGCACGTGAGGGAGGCACCACCGACCGGGAAGCAGGAAGTGATTTGAGACGCGGTCTTTCAGCAATTGATTGCGGTGGAGGGGCGAGGCGCCGGGCCGCACCGGCCGGACATCGGTGATACAACACGTACTCACTTCCGTCGACTTCCGCGTACTCGGCCAACAGCTCGGCGCCCCGCATCCTCGCCGCCGCCGTCGTTGCCGTCCGGAGCCTCCCCGCACAGTGGGCCAGAAGACCGGCGGAGGCGGCCAAAACTCTAGACGCGTTTTGACCTCCAGAGTCGCTAAACAGGACTCGAACCGAACGTGTGACCCCACCAATGGATTCCTCGTTCGGAGAGCAATCTATTGGTGGGGTCACACGGTCGGTTCGAGACCTGTTTGGCAATTCTGGAGCTCAAAACGCGTTTAGAGTTTTGGCCGCCTCCACCGGTCTTCTGGCCCACTGTGCCCCGGCCCCGTCCGCCTATCGGCACTAAAGCCGCTCGTTCATGCCCCCTCCTGGTCCTTGTAATAACCGCCGACCCTCGAACTTTAACTTGTTTCGAAAAATTGCGATAAACCGTGGAGATGGCAGCAGGGCCTGCGCGCTGGCAGGGCCGGGCGTTTGGCCAGCAGTTTGGGGCCTACCGCCCGCCCCGCCCCGCCCCGCCCCGCCCCGCCACAGTTGGTAAGTTGGAGTACACGATACGGCGCGGCGCCTCATCGCCCCTGACGGGCAAGTTAGTTGATGGCGCTGTCCCCGGGAGGTGACGCGCCTTGGCCGCCTGGGCTGCCTTTGCCTCTTCGCCTCGGCCAACCAGTGGAGTGGCCTCGCCGCCTCGCGCGGCAAAAAGGGCGCGCAGCAGGTGGACACGGCCGTCGGTTTGCTGTTGACTGGGACAGGCTGGAAATTGACGAAAATAAATACTCAATTCGAACAGAGCAACGACCACAACCGGCGCTTACGCACAGTAAATGTCTTACGCTGAAAGGCTGCACCAACATAATATGATGGAGATAATACCAACGAAATTCGTCAAAATCTCTATAAGGTACAGTGAATTCTCAATGGTATGTTACGAAGTCAGCTGCACCACCATAATATGGAACATTTTCACCATAATATGGAGAATCTTCACTGTAGAACATTTAGAGTGTGGCGAACAGATCTTAAAAATAGTTCTGAGGATGTATACGTGTGTGACCATGGTCATGCAATGCAGGCATTTAGGTGTCATTTATAATTTTCATGACTTATTTTTTTAACTTTTCCGGTATACTTACTTTTCCAGTCGCCTCAGACATCCGTTGGCGTTGGCCCCGCATCGCATAGTCGCGGCTCAGCCAGGCCGCCGGTTGCGAAAGCATGGCGAAACCTTGTGTGGTGATGAGAGGGGCTGCGAGGGGTAATGGTCCGTATCTGCGGGGGGGGCGGGCGGGGCGGGGCGGGGCGGGGCGGGGCGGGGCGGGGCGGGGCGGGGCGGTGGGGTCAGCCCAGGATGCCCGCTGCATTGAAAAAAAGCGTCTACGCACTCATAACACCCTTAGGACGCTCCCTTACTAGTGTGATAAATGCCCACCACTCGAGTCTTGCTTGTTTTCTTTGCTTCCCCTCGCTCCCCAGAAACCTAACAGGAAGCGGATTTTTTTTTTCTCTCCCGGCCTTCCCGCCACTTCTTATTGACAAAGTTTTGTCGGTGCGAGGAAAAAAAATTAATGGGAATAAAATTAGTGTTTTATACATTATACACTCGAGTTAAAAAGTGGATCCCGAGGTGTTGTGATGACTCGCTGCATCGGCGCGTGATAATGACAATGGCGGCCAAGGGGATGGAATGAAGCTCGCAGAGGCCGCCCCAGAACTTAATTTCGTTTTTGTTATTTTTTTTTGCGCCCATGGAATTGTTTTTTTTTTCTTTTTTCGGTTCAAACTTTTATTTCCCGAATGAAGTTAACACTCATCCCCAGATAGGAGGCTTTGGGCTGCATCCCGGCCGGCGAGGCGAGGCGTTGCAGAGGCCGACGGCCGGTATTATTTTTGTTTGGCTTGTTGTCGGTCGGCCGGCACTGCCCCCTCTCTCTCCCTCTCTCTCTCTCTCTCTCTCTCTCTCTCTCTCTCTCTCTCTCTCTCTCTCTCTCTCTCTCTCCTCTCTCTCTCTCTCTCTCTCTCTCTCTCTCTCTCTCTCTCTCTCGTCCAATCCAGCCGGCCGGCCCGGACGACTGCCCCGCCTCGCCGGGCACTTCGCTATTTCGTGTCCTTTGTCATCCTTTGTGATTCCTTGGGATTACTTAAAACGCGGCTGGCCGTACCGTGCCACGGTCCGTGCCACGGCGTGCAGGGTCTGCCTCTTCGCACTCCGCGCGCCGTCCCCCACCCCGACCCGCTCCCCCACCCCCTCCCCGCCCGTTTCTCCCACTGCTTGACTCCTTGGCCATAATTTATTTAGGGGGAAACAACACGGGGACGTGCCACGCATCTGGAGTGGTTTTCAGTCGAGATATTTATGGTGGCGAGTAGTTGGCGGCGCGGCCGCCAGGGCGCAGCACCGCCGCGATCCACCAGACTCATTCCGAGAGTCGTTTTCGTCGCTCTGTCTCTCTCGCACTCGCGGGGCGTTCTTATGGGAGCGAGAGGGACTCTCGGCATGAGTCTGGTGGATCCCGGCGTTGCGAGGCCGAGTACCTTTAACTCGTTTCAGAGGCCAGTCGGTCACAGGCGTGACGTACGGAGTGCACTCCACTACGTATCGCTCCGTGATAAAAACACATTCCAATTCTCGACATAAGTGGATTCGAACCCATGTTTTCCGCGTGAGAAACCGACGCTCTTGACCGCGCGGCCGCACCGGTCGGCGGGTGATCGGGTGCGTCGGCGGGCGGGCACGGCCATTCTGAAAGCGCTTTGTTTTATCGGGCCAAAGACTTTCCTGCTGCACAAAGCTAAACGGGTCAACACAACTCAATACGCTTGTCAGCTCTTTCTCCTGTTTCAAGCGCAGGCGGTGCGGGCGGCGGTTCGAACCCGGGCCCTCACTGGCGGTGAGCGAATAAGGGGGTCGCGGTCGGGCGGTAGCCCTGGAGCGATGGTGGCAACCCTATAGCCGCCGCGGCAGTGGCAACCCTAGATCCACCAGCCTCGCGGTGCCTCGCGGTGCCTCGCGGCCTAACGAAGCGGGTATAAGCGCATTTTCGAATTAGACACTGGCTCTCTCTCTCTCCCTCCTGGGACTGACTTAAGAGCCGCCTCTGTGTGTCACGGTTTGCCTTTCAGGAAGGACGCGGCGCCCTCTCTCCGTCTCTCTCCCTCTCTCCTCCCCTTTCAACTTTTACCTCCTCCTCCGGCTGAAACTCCAATTTCCCCCATCCAGGACCGGGACGGCCGGGAGGGCCGGGACGGGGGGCAACCCTAGCCGCGTCGTCGTGTGCTCTTAATCCATGCCCTCCGTACGCCGAGCGATTTTCCTCGCTCTGTCTCTCTCGCACCCCTACGGGACGCGCCGTCAGTGCGACAGAGACAGAGCGACGGAATGAGGCTTCGTGATCAGCCGGCTGCACATCAGTCACTGGTTACCCGCTCGTTCCGATTCGACGAATTTCTGCGGCAGCAAAAGAAAATTCTTGGGGGGAAAAATCGGAAACGTTGTTGTTGTTTTGGCTGACTCTTTGTTTTTGTTTCTGTTTGTCAGTGTGCCGGCAGATGGAGATGGGCGTGCAGGCCGTATTCGGCCCCACCGACCCGCTGCTGGGCGCGCACATCCAGAGCATCTGCGAGGCCCTGGACGTGCCGCACCTGGAGGCGCGCCTGGACATGGAGCCGCACACCCGGGAGTTCTCCGTCAACCTGCACCCCAGCCAGCACCTCATCAACACCGCCTTCAAGGACCTCATCACCTTCCTCAACTGGACGCGCGTCGCCATCGTGTACGAGCAGGAGCACGGTGAGTCTGGCCTTCCGGTGTACCGCCACAGTGGATTTGCCAGAGGACCGGTGGAGGCGGCCAAAACTCTGGACGCGTTTTGAGCTCCAGAGTCGCTAATGGGACTCGAACCGAACGTGTGACCCTACCAATGGACTCCTCCTCGAACGAGGAATCCATTGGTGGGGTCACACGTTTTCGAGTCTCATTTGGTGGGGCTCAAACCACGTCCAGAGTTTTGGCCGCCTCCACCGGTCTTCTGGCCCACTGTGCGGAGTGCGGCGGGCCCCGGCGGGCCGCGAAGGCCCCTCCGCAGAGCGCCCGGCCAGCAGACTGAATCCGTCGCTCTGTCTCTCTCGCACCCACACGGGACGTGCCGTGAGTGCGAGCGAGACAGAGCGACGGACAACAACTCTCGGGATCAGTCTGCAGACCGGACTGCTCTGACGTCCGGCAGCGGGTCTCTTGATTGATGGCCGGCACACTGGTTCCGGGGGTCTCGCTCCGTCTCTCTCGCGCCAGCACGGGCCGCCCCGTGAGTGCGAGGGAGACAGCGCGACCACTCTCGGAATGAGTCTGCGGCAGCAGATGCTCCGTTCCGCTCGGTGGTCATGAAGGCATGCATCCTCCCGCAGGCCTGTTCAAGCTGCAGGAGCTGGTGAAGGCGCCGCCCAACACGCGCACCGACATGTACATCCGGCAGACCACGCCCGCCACCTACCGCCAGGTGCTCAAGGAGATCCGCCAGAAGGACATCTTCAAGCTCATCGTGGACACCAACCCTCGCCACATGAGCAGTTTTTTTCGAGCGGTACGTTCCACCAGTGGGTTTGCCAGAAGACGTGCAGGCGGACAAAACTCCAGACGCGTTTTGAGCTCCAGAGTCGCTAAATTGCACTTGAACTGAACGTGTGACCCCCACCAATAGATCCCGCGTTCGGAGAGCAATCCATTGGTTGGGGTCACACGTTCGGTTCGAGTCCAATTTAGGGACTCTGGAGCTCAAAACGCGTCTAGAGTTTTGGCCGCCTGTATCGGTCTTCTGGCCTACTGTGCGTTTCTCCTCACTTTTTTTGCTGGGTGCCTCGCAACCGCGTCTATCAACTCCCTTCCGGATTCCCCTCCACCGTTCCCAGAATCCTGAAAGGCTCCCCAGAATGAACGACCACCGCTACCACTACATGTTCACCACTTTCGTCTCAAACCCTCTCCTCGCGCACACCTCGCTCGATTCGCAACCTCGTCTCTCTCTCCTCTCTCTCTCTCTCTCTCTCTCTCTCTCTCTCTCTCTCTCTCTCTCTCTCTCTCTCTCTCTCTCTCTCTCTCTCTGTCTCGCTTTCTCTCCCACTACCCGTGCTCCCCGTCTCGCTGCAGTCGACAAACATTTAGGGGCCAATCTTTCCTTCTTTACCGTTCCGACCCAGTGAGGGAAGCAAATAAAACTTTCCCGTAAAAGTGCGAGCAGCAAAAGCCGGGAGGTGGGGGGGGGACTGAGTGCGAGTGAGAACGAAAGAGAGAGGCGGTGCGTGATCCCCTGACTTGGTGCTGCAGGACATGGAGACCCTAGACCTGGAGGACTTCAGCTACAACAACGTCAACATGACGGCCTTCCGGATAGTGGACGCCGACGACCCCGGCGTCAAGGAGGCGCTGCGGCAGATGGAGCGGTTCGCCCCGATCGGCCACCACATCATCAACAGCAGCGGCATCATCCAGGTAATCGGCGTGGCCGCGTGGTTAGCGTAGCTGGTTTCCGAGCCGGTGGACCCGGCTTCGAATCCCCGAATTATTATTTTTTTCAGGGGGTGGTTTTTCCCGGGTTGGTTGTAAAAAAACGAGACTCCGAGAGGGCCGAGCCTCCTGCTCTTCATAACCATGGCTTAGCTGTGTTGGCGCAGGCAGCGCAGGCCGCGCAGCCCAAAGTTGTGACGACCCCGTCCGTTCCTCCACGCGCTGCCGCCGTGCTGCTGCACTGCGAGCTGGTTCGTTGATGAAGCCCCTCTCTTCCTGCAGGTGGAGCCGGCCCTGATGTACGACTCGGTGCAGGTGTTCGCCAGGGGCCTGCTCGCCATGGAGGCCGCCTCGGTGCACGGGCCGCCGGGGGGCGCGGTGGGGGCGGGCGGCGCGGCCGGCGCGGCCCCTCCGACCACCTCGCTGCGCTCCTCCAACCTGTCCTGCGACCTGGAGCGGCCCTGGGACGACGGCCTCAGCCTCTACAACTACATCAACACGGTGAGCGCGAGCGCGCGGTCGACTCTGGCGGTCAACTCTGGAGGTCAAGTGTGGGGATCAACTCTTGAGGTCAACTCTGGCGGTCAACTCTGGAGGTCAACTCTGGAGGTCAAGTCTGGGGATCGACTCTTGAGGTCAACTCTTGAGGTCAACTCTGGAGGTCAACTCTGGAGGTCAACTCTGGAGGTCAACTCTGGAGGTCAACTCTGGAGGTCAACTCTGAGGGTCAACTCTGGAGGTCAACTCTGAAGGTCAACTCGTGAGACCAACTCTGCGCGGTTGATGACAACCCCGGACGAATCGACCGCGCCAAGTGTTTGTTGTCGACGCAGTCCGCGTTGCAATCACGCTCGAGCTCGTCGAGGCCCTGTCCTTCCACGCATTGCGGAAATACGTTGGAGAACGGCGTTTTAAAAATCAGTGGCGCCGCTCCACGACCGGGTTCGGTTCTTCAGCATCTCCAGTCACGGGACCCACCGCAACTGCCGCGCTGCAGCCAGGCGTGGAAAAAGAAGTTGAGGGGGGGGGGACATTGTAAGCAGCTGGCAATCTAATATCGCACACCGCCTTCTCTACGGCGTCCCAAAACGCAACGCCTGCCTCCGCCTCAAGGTTCGGCAATGTTGGCAGGTGTGTGTGTGTGTGTGTGTGTGTGTGTGTGTGTGTGTGTATGCGTGTGTGTGTGCGTGTGTGCGTGTATGTCTGTGTGTGCTCTACATAAGCCTACGACGATAGGGGGTGCCGCCAGGAGCAAAGAAAATAATCCAATGATCCCCGCGTAGCTAGAGCTAATATTGAATATTAAAAAAAGGTTGTGTGTGCGCGCGGGTGCGCGTGTGCGTGTGTGCGGTGCCGTACACGCGAGCGCGCCCTTTTTTTTACGCACGAGTCAATATATTCCGGCAGCAGCAGGGTGCGCGCGAGAGTAAGCTGTTTCGTCATTAAGGGGACCGCCTGGGCCGTCCCGCGCCGCACGCCTGTGCGGCGGGCGGGCCTACCCCCTCGACTGCAGGCGCGCGGCCGCGCCCACCGCGCCGCCGTGGCGTGCTTTGCGTGACTGTACACTGCACTGCCGCGTGACTTGGAGTCTCCGAGAGTGGGTCAGAGCACCGGTGGAGGCGGTCAAAATCCCGGACGGGCTTTGAGCTCCAGAGTCGCTCGAACGGCACGTGTGACCCCACCAATGGATTGCTCTCCGAACGAGGAATCCATTGGTGGGGTCACACGTTCGGTTCGAGTCCTGCTTAGCGACTCTGGAGTTCGAAACGTGTCGAGAGTTTGAGCCGCCGGCTCCGATCTTCCACCCCACTGTGCGGCGCCTCCATTCTTGATCCTTGATCCTTGCCCTCTGGCCCGCAGGCCTCGACCCACGGGCTGACGGGCCGCATCCAGTTCGAGCACGGCAAGCGCGCCCACGTCAAGCTGGACCTGCTCAAGCTGAAGCAGGCCAAGCTGAAGCGCGTGGGCCACTGGGTGTCCGGCAAGGGCGTCAACATCACGGACCCCACGGCCTTCTACGGCCAGCAGCGCACCAACATCACGCTGGTCGTCATGACGCGACAGGTTCGTACGCCGGGCAGCACGGTGGAGGGAGTCAAAATCCCGGACGGGCTTTGAGCTCCAGAGTCGCTAAATGGGACTCGAACCGAACGAATGACCCCACCCATGGATTGCTCTCCGATCGAGGAATCCATTGGTGGGGTCACACGCTCGGTTCGAGTCCTGGTTAGCGACTCTGGAGCTCAAATCGCGTCTGGAGTTTCGGCCTCGGCCGCCTGCGCCGGTCCTCTGGCAAATCCACAGTGGCTCGTCTGCGTGTGTTTTTGTGTGACCCTGGCGGGCCGGGCGGGCCGTGCACTTGCTGCAGGAGAAGCCGTACGTGATGCTGAAGGAGGACCGCAACCTGACGGGCAACGCTCGCTTCGAGGGCTTCTGCATCGACCTGCTCAAGTGGATCGCCGGCCAGGTGGGGTTCCACTATGCCATCAGGCTGGTGCCCGACCACATGTACGGCGTGTACGACCCCGCCAGCAAGCAGTGGAACGGCATCGTGCGCGAGCTGGTGGACAAGGTCAGTGCATTCTCTCTCTCTCTCTCTCTCTCTCTCTCTCTCTCTCTCTCTCTCTCTCTCCCCTCTCCCTCTCTCCCTCTTCTCTCTCTCTCTCTCTCTCCCTCTCCTCTCTTCTCTCTCTCTCTCTCTCTCTCTCTCTCTCCTCTCTCTCTCTCTTCTCTCTCTCTCTCTCCTCTATCGCACTCATGGGGTGCCCCGTACAGGTGTGAGAGAGACAGTGACGGAATGGTCTCTCGGAATCAATCTACCCGCCCAAAGAAACGCATGCATGTTCAAGTCGCGTTTTGTGTTGGTTCACAATGTTCCTAGCTGAGTGGATTGAGCCGAGCAGCCGGCCTGGGGTTGCGTTTGCCCATAAAAACTCGAACCCGTGTTCTCCGAAATTGAACTCGGCCCCCTCTCTAGCGTCGCGGCTGTCTTTGTTCGGGAAATGTCAATAAAGCTGGAGTGCACCTATTCCACATTCTGCGAGACATTCTGTCTACAAAGTCACCGCATTCTGCGATTGTTTGTTTGTTTTCATTTTTCTTTGGCCTTTTTTATTTTTATTTTTTTCTTTCTTGCGCGCACTGCCGCTGCACTCGGCGGAGCCATCCCGCGAGCCGCGCCGCGCAGTTACGTGTTATCGACGTAGTAGTGGCATTACACTATATCACCCCCAGCGAACCGCCGGCCCCGCCAGCCCCGCCAGCCCCGCCAGCCCCGCCAGCCCCGCCAGCCCTGCAATCCACCATAACATTATGACCAGCAGGTCGGGCTGGTCCCCTCCAGGGCCGCCTCCAGGGCCGCCTCCAGGGCCGCCTCCAGGGCCGCCTCCAGGGCCGCCTCCAGGGCCGCCTCCAGGGCCGCCTCCAGGGCCGCCTCCAGGGCCGCCTCCAGGGCCGCCTCCAGGGCCGTGGACCGCGACGCGCCGGGGACCGGCTGGGCGGACGGCGGGGGTAGGGGCGGGGCGGGAAAAGAGAGGGGCAGAGAGCGCGAGCAAATAATTGAGGCCGAAACTGGGAGTGTCTCAGCAGCGCGACGACTAGCCTGAGACGTTTCCAGGGGTGAGCGCCACTTTTTGGTCTCGAGCGCGTAGAGCTGGAATTTGGCTGCGTGCGCGCACAGTGGGCCAGAAGACCGGCGCAGGCGGCCAAAACTCTAGACGCGTTTTGAGCTCCGGAGTCGCGAAACAGGACTCGAACCGAACGTGTGACCCCACCAATGAATTCCTCGTTCGGAGAGCAATCCATTGGTGGGGTCACTCGTTCGGTTCGAGTCCCATTTGGCTACTCTGGAGGTCAAAACGCGTCCGGGATTTTGACCGCCTCCACCGGTCATCTGGCCCACTGTGGTGCGGCCGGGCTAGGCGTTTGCCCCGCGCTGCCCGGCGGGCTGCTCCAGCCTGGCTCCACGCGCATCAAGTCGAGTTGCTTGATTGCTTCTTAACATGGTAACGTCCCCCATGACGGCTTAAACCGGGCCGCGCATCCCGACGGCGAACGCGACGTGGCCGACCTCTTAAATTCGGCCTCGGCCGCCTGAATGGCCCCGCCGCGGCCCGGCCGTGGCCGAGGCCGTGGCCCTGCCATCTGATTGGATCTCGGCGCGGCGCGCCCGGCGTGGCCCAGCGCAAGCAACGTCTACGACGAGGGTGCGCCGCCCTCCCCCTCCCCCGCGGGCTCGTCGACACCGCCTCGCACCGCCTCGCCTCATCTAGGCCTTTTCATTAACTATTAATTGCCCCGACAAAGAGGAACAACAGTTTACAAACAGCGACCACGGGACGGGACGACGGGGCGCGCCAGAGAGGGGCGGGGCGGGGCGGGTGGGGAGGGGGGGGGCATGCACGCAGTGATTGTGTTGTTGGAAACTTGTTCCAAGCGGTCGGTTCAGGGAGGCTGACTACACTAGGCTTTAAAACATGGTCCTAACGGGTGAGAGAGATATCCATTGTCTGTCACCACAAATGAGGTCCGATTGCCAGAGAGATGGTCTATTTTCTTGTTTCGTGTCCCTTTGGCAGGGTACAGACCAACTTCGGCCCTTGATGGAGGTCCAAGCGAAGCGCTGCGGAGCCCAATTTCTTGACACTGACACCTCTTTTTTGCTGTCACCGAAAAGTCTACCCCTTTGCGCGCTCGCCTAATGGTGTGATCCTCTTCCCAACTACCCCGCAATAAAAAAACAACGTTAGCGGAGGAAGGGGAGAGGGAAGAAAGGAGTGGGGGGCGGGAAGGAGCAGGAAATCGACAAGCTAGCCTCAAAACTCAACGCGTCAAACTAAGGGGCAAACTGGGCCTTCAATCAATCCTAGCATTGCCACTCGCCCAAAATAATGCCCCCATCGATCTTGCGAGCCCGACTGTGTGTGTGTGTGTGTGTGTGTGTGTGTGTGTGTGTGTGTGTGTGTGTGTGTGTGTGTGTGTGCGCGCGCGCGCGCGCGCGTGAGGGTGGACGGGCGGGACGGGCGTCGACGTCTAGAGCGTTGCTAGCGTTGCGTGTGCAATGTGGCACCAGGTGGCTCCACTGGCGATTGGCACTCCCAGTCTGTCAATAGACTAGCCCGTCTACACTGTGGGGCGCTGCGAGCTTCGAGCTGCGTTTCTCGCCATCACCTGCCTCCCCGGCCAGCAGAAGGAGGAGGGGGCACTGCAAAGCACACCACTGCTCGCGATATTCTTTTCCAAAATACGGACGTTGTTCTGAAAACTGAACCGTTGTTGCAGAGAGCGGACCTGGCCGTGGCGTCCATGACCATCAACTACGCGCGGGAGAGCGTCATCGACTTCACCAAGCCCTTCATGAACCTGGGCATAGGGATCCTGTTTAAGGTGAGTTGGAAAGGTGCCGCCCCCCACACTGGAAGTCTCGAGGGCCGGCCACTGACTCTGGTTGCTGCTGCAGGTGCCCACCTCGCAGCCCACGCGCCTTTTCTCCTTCATGAACCCCCTGGCCGTGGAGATCTGGATCTACGTCCTGGCCGCCTACCTGCTCGTCAGCTTCACGCTCTTCGTCATGGCCAGGTGAGAGAGCGCGCCGTGAAAAAGTTAAATATGCTCACTAGTTGCTCCGTAAATTTTGCGGAGGGAAAGGAAGGATTTCTTTTTCGGATGCAAACTCAGACTGTTTGCAAATGTCTGACGCGGGGGTGTTTCCAGGTTTTCCCCCTACGAGTGGAACAGCGTTCCCCACTGCGCCATGGGTCGGACGCCCGAGGTGGTGCACAACCAGTTCTCCGTCTCCAACAGCTTCTGGTTCATCACCGGCACCTTCCTGCGCCAGGGCTCCGGCCTCAACCCCAAGGTGAGCACGCTATGCGACGCACAGTGGGCCAGAAGACCAGTGGAGGCGGCTAAAACTCTCACCAATGGATTCCTCGTTCGGAGAGCAATACATTGGTGGGGTCACACGGTCGGTTCGAGTCCCATTTAGTGACTCTGGAACTCAAAACGCGTCCGGGATTTTGACCGCCTCCACCGGTCCTCTGGTCCACTGTGCGACGCGATGCACGGTGCAAGGGCGGCTGATTGCGTGCCTCTTTCACTGACCGGTGTGTCGTCCGCAGGCGACCTCTACCCGCATCGTGGGCGGCATCTGGTGGTTCTTCACGCTCATCATCATCTCCTCGTACACGGCCAACCTGGCGGCCTTCCTCACCGTGGAGCGCATGATCACGCCGATCGAAAACGCAGCCGACCTGGCGGACCAGATGGAGATCTCGTACGGCACCCTGGAGGGCGGCTCCACCATGACCTTCTTCAGGGTGAGCGAGCGGCGAACCGCCGAACCGGAAGACCAAACAAACATGTTTTCTTTCGTTTTCGCCGCGCCGTGTGTTATGCGAGTGAAATGACTTTGTCGCTTCCAGGACTCGAAGATAGAGATCTACCAGAAGATGTGGCGGTTCATGGAGAACAAGAAGCCGTCCGTGTTCGTGTCCACGTACGAGGAGGGCGTGAAGCGCGTGCTGCAGGGCAACTACGCCTTCCTCATGGAGTCCACCATGCTGGACTACGCGGTGCAGCGCGACTGCAACCTCACGCAGATCGGCGGCCTGCTCGACTCCAAGGGCTACGGCATCGCCACGCCCAAAGGTACGTGCAAAAAGAAACGCCGCCATTGGTCAGGCACCAAACAAAAACACGAAACAAAAATCCTTCTTTTTTTTCCAGGGTCACCCTGGAGAGACAAGATCTCGCTTGCCATCCTGGAGCTGCAGGAGAAGGGCGTGATCCAGATGCTGTACGACAAGTGGTGGAAGAACACCGGCGACGTGTGCAACCGGGACGACAAGAACAAGGAGTCCAAGGCCAGCGCGCTCGGCATCGAGAACATCGGCGGCGTCTTCGTGGTGCTGCTGTGCGGCCTGGTGCTCGCCATCGTCGTGGCCGTCATCGAGTTCTGCTGGAACTCGCGGAAGAACGCGCGCTCGGACAGAGTACGTAGAGGATGCTCCGGCTCTCTGTCTCTCTCGCACCCACACGGCGCGCCCCATGAGTGCGAGAGAGACGGGTGACGAAAGCGCTGTGCGGCTGGCCCCGCGGGGCTCGCGGCCTGGTACAGTACTCGGCGCCTTGCCAGCCCCGCGCCCCGCGAATGAGTCATGCATGCGCCCGGCCGGCCTGTAGATGGCGCTGGACGGCGCCGGCCGCGGCCATGGAGGGGGCAGCGCGGCAGCGCGAAGGAACTGAAGGACACGCCGCACGCGAGCAAGCACTAAGCCCCGGTGGCGCAGTTGGCAGCGCGTTATTCTGATCTTAAATAACGGTCGTAGGTTCGACTCCTACCCGGGGTACTCTTTTCCGCCTCGTTTTTCATGGTTTCCGTTTCCTGTTCGCAGAGATCTCTCTGCTCGGAGATGGGCGAGGAGCTCCGCTTCGCCATGCGGTGCTTCGGGCCGCGGCAGAGGCCGGCCCTGAAGCGCTGCAACCTGTGCCACAACATGACCCCCAGCTACATGCCGGGGACGAACATCGACCTGCAGACTGTGAGTACCTCGGGGTGGTCGGTCGGCGTCGCGGCGCGTCGCGGCGCGGAGGGACTTGCTTTAACGCCCTGCCTTCAGTTCCAGCTGCACGGCGCGCCCGCCACCGCCAGCATCATGGACAGCCCCACGGAGGGCAGCCAGCACGCCGCGCACGCCGCGCACGCCAACCTGGGCGTGCAGGTGGCGCACAGCCACCAGGGGCCGCCCAGCCCCATGCAGAGCCTGGAGATGGTCACGTTCCAGCCCCCAAACTCCTAGTGCTACGAGCGGCGGCGGCGACAAGCCCCCGCCGCTTCCTCGTCGGCCAGCCCCCTGGGCGTCCGCAACTCCCGGCAGGCCCTCAACGCCACCACGGACGTGGACGTGGTGGCGGGCCTCGGCGGCCTCGGCCACCACCACGCCGCGCTGCCCGGCCCCAGCCTCGGCCCCAGCCTCGGCGCCGACTGCGGCCCGGACTGCCTCGCCGCCGCCGGCGGTGGCGGGGACGACGCCTCCACGTCCATGTCCTCCTTCCAGGCGGGCGCCGCCACGGCCTCCACGGCGGCGGCCTCGGCCATGCCGACGGCCATGCCGACGCCGTGCGCGCTGCACTCCAACGCCGGGTGCCGGCGCCGGTTTTGAACCCCGGCGCCGAGGCCGTGCCGCCGGGCCCCGCCTTGCCACGGTGAGGCGCTCGTCGGCCACCAGGTCACCGCCGAACTCCCGACCTGGGTAGCCGCCAGGAACATTTAGGGAACCTTGCCTCGGTGGCCCTCCCAGCGCCCTCGCCCGGCCACAGGCCCGGCCAAAGGCCCGGCCAAAGCCGCAGAGACAGAATAAGGAATTGGTAGTGGGCAGTATTAAGTGGGTACTGCAAGTCCAAACGTGGAGCACGGTGTCGACTCGTTCCGCTCCTTTGGCTTTGCAGTGCGAGAGTGTTATTAAATGTTATGAGTGAATGTTGAATGTCTATGAATCCACCTGCTGGTCTAGCGGGTGCCGGACGGCGGCCGCTCAACCCGCGCTCTGGTAACGTGTGACAACTGTAACGCGTGACAAGTGTGTGACACGAATGTGACACGAGTGTGACACGAGCGTGACACGAGCGTGGCTGCTTTTGCGCCGGTGCCGGCTGCATATCATCTCGACTGTGCGCACACTGCTTTTGAGAACTCAGAGATTTGAAAAAACAATGTAGACAATGTGTGGAACTCTATCATTTTTGTTATCATTTTTAACTCGCGTGGATGTGTTACCAGCGTTCATATCGAGTGAAACAGCGCCGTAAATTTCTATGAACTCTTGTTGATTTTGTTTTGTATTTAATTAATAAATTAAAAAAATTAACTTGTGATGGGATCTGGATCCCACAAACAGGACTGAGCCTCCAGGGTAACCCCCTGAGCCAACTGTAAAAGGCTTAAAAAGTGTTCTGGTGATATTTTTAAGAAGGGTGGGGGAATAGGGAGCCAACAGTGAAAAAAGTCTTTCTGTATTTCTCCTTGTGATGCCTGCACCCTGCTTCTTCAAGGTCAGTGCTTCCCGACTACAAGTCAAAACTCACGTGCAATAAACTTGACTCTACGGCTCTCAAAACGCACCATACTGACAAAAAAAGAAAAAAAAGGGTCGATTGCATATCGGCTTTCCGTGTGCTAGTACAACTTTTTGAAATACTTTCCGAATTTTGAAACAGTGGTACAAAATTTTGAATCATGCCTTCTGCTGGATGTCGCCGTGGCACAGCTGAAATTTGCACACGATTGCAATGGTAACCTAATTTAAACGGACCAACAACCAACATGACGGCCTACTGGTGGAAGAGTTAGTCACTTAGATGTATAACCATACTAACCCAGGAACTCCCTTTTTATTGTCATAAGGTTTGTGATATAAAAAATAATAATACCACAGCACACAAGTAGGACGTGTTGAATAGAATTATCATTATAGCTCAATAAAAGAACTTGCTCCCTTTTCTTATGACAAAGCTCTTCGGTCTCAAATTCATAATAATGCTTCCAGTACCTGGGTCGTGCCGTGCAACTTGTTTCTAGCCAAAGCAACAAATTAAGGGAATTAAAAGGGGTCACGTCATTCGCTGGCTGGGGCATCACGTAGAGCTTTCACGTGATTCCCGTCAACCAACAGTCTTGTTCAAAAAGATTGAGGGATTAGCGTAAGCTATTCGTACCAATAATGAAAGTGTTCATCATTTTTACTGTGTCCGTCAATAAAAGCACCAACTGTTCAGCCGAAACGTCGGTGACGTTCCCATACTGCCGTGTCATTGCTTTCGTTCTACTTGGAGTTGTGTGGGTCCAAATATCTATTTTGTCGGTTGCACATTTACAGGCATCCCGCGTCTGCTCTTCATGGAAAAATAATAAAACACGGGGATCTTTTTAGTCGAGTTCTTTTTATTCCTTCCTGATTTTTTCCCATTACACCACTGCTCATCATCATCATCAACAACAACAACTAAAACAATCCAGTTTTTACTCACTGACAAGAGGCAACTCTATGTGATGTCTCTACCACCACCAGAAATTACAAGAGGCTCCATTTGGCCTTGTTTCGACTTTATTTTGGAACTTGCCCGAACGGCGCAGCGCTTTGCGTTTCCGCGCCACTGGTGCCGGTTTCTTGAATCAGTTTAGCCAACGCACAGGCCGTAACGCACGCTCACACGCCTCGTTGGTGAGACCGTCTTCAAGCTCAGTGCGGTAATTTATCCTCACCAGAAATACTCCTCAAATAGTATCACTCCTGCGTTCAAAGTCCTTTCCAAAACCTCAAGCCTCATGTTATACAGTATTAGTATGCAGTATAAATCTTGCGATGTTGGTGTTGACGAGGCAGATTTCACTTCGCCACTCAGCTGTACGATATTTTCGTTAAATTGTGAATATTCTGTGCTTTCATCAAGTAAACGTCAGTCGCAGGGGCATTCCTGGAAATAACAATGAAGGCTTTATCTACTCTCGCCAGTTTAAGTAAGAATTATCGTTAGTTTTGGCTTATTTTATGTCTTTACCAGCGTCTTGGTTATGGCTGTCTGCTATGGTTTACATTTGACATGTTCCTAGGATTTAATGAAACATGACTTAGCTGAATGAACTATGGTCTTTTCTTGTGTTAGGGGCCGCCTAAATTGTGTCCAATATTCGAAAACTTAATTTATGTAGCTTATCTTGTTTACAAAATTGTAATTGAAGGCAACTTTCTTCGTGGTCCTGTTCCAGAATCGCAACTGCCACGGAATACAAGAGGGCTGTTTGTTTCATCAATTTCACATTCCCAAGCCAAGTCTCAGGATGTCAGTCGTCCCAAGACTGGTGTCTTAATGCTGAATATGGGCGGACCGCAGACAACTGATGAAGTGGGGGAATATCTCCTTAGAATCATGACTGACAGAGATATGATTCAATTACCTGTGCAAGGGTATGTTACCAAGATTATTTCTTAAAAGTTCACTCCTGCATTACATTTTATGACATAAGTTTCCTTGACTATGTGTTATGACAGCACTTTAGGACCGTACATTGCCAAACGTCGAACCCCTGAAGTCATGAAGAAATATGCAGAAATTGGTGGTGGTTCACCTATTTTGAAATGGACTAAATTGCAGGTAAAAATTTCTTCCTTTATCTAATTTGAGTTTCCATAAAAAAGAATTGTGTTTATTTAATCTTGTATTTTCTAGGGTGATCTTTTATGCAAAAAGCTTGACAGCATTTCCCCTAAAACTGCACCACACAAACCTTATGTTGCGTTTCGTTATGCTAATCCACTGACAGAGAAAACTTTAGAGGAGATAGAGAAGTATGTGTCATCAATCAGAAGATGAAGCTACAAAATTTATAAAATATTCTGCCATTCTTACCTACTTGTCTCTGTTTTTTTTTTTTCTCTCTATTTCTTCTGCAGAGATGGAGTAAAGCATACTGTGGTATTTTCCCAGTACCCCCAATACAGTTGTGCAACCAGTGGATCTAGCTTCAATGCAATTTTCACTCACTACGCTAAGAAGTAAGACTTATTAAAATGTGTTTTCACTTTTTCCTAGCCCCCTTCTTAAATTTTTAATTCACATCAACTGTTTATATTTTTCTTTCAGGAATTTGCCTCCTGGTATGACATGGAGTATAATTGAGCGTTGGGGCACGAATCTTAAACTTGCCAAGGTGTTTGCAGATCGAATTTTGATTGAACTAAACAAGTTCCCAGCAGAGACCCGCAAGGACGCAATAATTCTTTTCTCTGCTCACTCTCTTCCTCTCAAGGTTTGAAATGGCAAACTTTACTTTTCTTCAGCAATGAAGATGTCTTTTGCCCTTACTTTGATTGTGTTTCATTTTTTAATTAATTAAAAAATTGCGGTTGAAGGCGGTCAACAGGGGAGACCCCTATCCATCCGAGGTCGGTGCCACAGTGCAATTGGTGATGGAGCAGCTTGGCCATTGCAATCCTTACAGCCTTGTTTGGCAGTCCAAAGTTGGTCCCCTGCCCTGGTTGGGACCGTTCACTGATGATGCAATCAAAGGTAAAACTTATCAATCACTATAGGGCACTCTCAGCCATTTTATAAGTGATCCATATATTTTGTTTCTTATACCGAGTCTTTTTTTCTTCCAGGTTACGTCAAACAAGGAAAAAGAAACTTCGTATTGGTGCCAATTGCTTTTGTTAATGAGCATATTGAAACTTTGCATGAGCTTGATATTGAGTACTGCCATGACTTGAAGAAAGAGGTAACTACACTTTTAGATATTTTCTGCTTTAAAAGACATATTGTATTTTTTAATAATAATAATTTTTTTGCATAGCTGGGTGAACTTAACATTCAACGAGCTCCTGCACCGAATGATCATCCCCTTTTTATTGAAGCTATGGCCGATATAGTGAAGTCTCATCTTGAAGGAAAATCAGCTGTCAGCCCCAAATTCCTCACGCGTTGTCCACATTGTGTCAACAGCCGCTGTGATTCAGCCAAGCAATGGTGGGGAAACCTTTGCAAACTACCTGCTGTTCAATAGTGAAAAGTCTAGAATTGTGGAATGGTTCAAGGAGATGGTGGTAGCAGACTTCTTACCAATCTCAGACAGATAATTTAAACTGTGATCCTTTCTAATTTTTTGTTGTTCTTATTTTTTTGAATGAATTATATCGGGTAGTAGGATTTATAGATTGAGATCTCAGGTTCTATTGTTTTTCATAATGTTATACTTCAGTTTTACATTTTATCATTTACCTGGTTTGGAAGATATATCTTTAAGTATTACAAATAAAGTTAAAGAAAAAATCATTTACTGGTATGTATTCAAATATTTTTATTAAAATTGCCAATTGTGGGAGAATTTTAACATTACATGTCAGATGTGCTCCATTTATAAGCTTCCTCCTCCACAGCCTTCTTTGCATTCTTGGCTTCAAACCATTTCCTCTCATAACCACATGATCTGTCCACACCATCCCAGCGATAGCCGGGCCTTATGTTGTAACGGTTTGGTGGAAAGGAACCTTGGTAAACGGGTACTGCAAAAATATTTATAATAAGCAAATAACATGGAAAAAAGTTAAAAGTAAGTTGCAAACCAATAGAAACACATAGAAGTACATACCTTTATTTTTAGACTGCTCTTTCTTTTTATTCTGCAAGTATTCCAACATAGGATCTCCTTCCCTGTCTTGATCTTTTAAATAGGAGTCTAAATCTGCATCATCTGCATATCTTGCCAACGGTTTTGACATTTCATACAAGTCATTTTGAAGGCGAACTTGTTGATCTTCTGTTTGCTTCACTCTGAGCAGAGGAGGATGATGGTTCAATATTCTATTCAATAACATACATTAAAACACCAGCTGATAAAAAATATGAGAACAGTACTTACCCTTTACCCCATCTAGTATACTTTTCTTTGTGTTTGTTTTCCTGCTCATCCTTGACTCTTTGTTCTGCTTGTTCACGTTCCATGTCCCGCTTGAGCCCAGTCTTTCTGTCTCTTTGAACTGCCACAGCACCTCTTCCTGAGAGGGAGTCATCCATCTGAAAATTCAGCAACAAAATTACAAAAATGACAGACAGCAAATAAACCCCTCCATGTATTGAGTTTGCCTGTGGCCAGAACATACCTTTGCAAAGACCTTCTCTTCCCTTTGCCTGAACTCTAGTAACTCCTGTTTTAGATGTTTAGCATCTTGAAGTCCTGCTTTCTTGCCATCAAGGGTCTTTTTCATTTTACTATCTTGTACACCATGGTCATCTTTTTCTTGTTTAATTTTATGTCTACTAACACTGCTATCTTGTGAATCTCTTTTACTAGATCTTCTTGGAGGGGATGTATCTGAATCAGACTGATTTTTTCGTCGCGTTCTCTCAGAATGATCTGGTTGTCTTTTTCTGGGTGGGGAAGTGTCTGAATCATATTGTTTCCGCCTGGGAGGAGAGGTATCTGAATCATTCTGTTTCTTTCTTCTGGGGGGTGACTGGTCTACATCATACTGTTTACCTTTTTTGCGTGCATAAGAATCATCCTGCTGCCTCTTCCTTGGCGGTGAGGAATCAGAATCAGCTTGTTGGTGCTTACTCGAAGTAGATTTGTCAGATTGCTTTCGTCTTAAAGAATCGGAATCATCCCTCTGCTGGCGCTTATTTCTTGGTGGGGATTCATCAGAATCGTAACGCTGTCCTTTTCTAGAGGAAGCAGCATCAGAATCTCTCTGCATTTTTCTGCGAGGAGGTGAGGCATCAGAATCATCTTGATTTTTCTTGCGGGGTGGTGAGGCATCAGAATCGTAGTTTTTCTTCTTCCGAGGTGGAGAATCATCAGAATCATTTCGTTTCCCCCTCCTTGGCGGTGACTCATCGGATTCATATCGCTTTCTTCTTGGGGGTGAAGAGTCTTTGCTTGATTTACTTTTCCTTTGATCATCCGCCTGAGGCCTTACAGAAAACTCTTCCTCCTCATCACTTGACGCTTGCTTCGGTCCACCGACGGCTGAAACACTGACCCCATCCCCGTCGGAGTTGCTAAGGACCTTCCAGCGCTGCACTTGTTTGTACTGTTCAAGAGCCTTAACTTCAGCCGGCCGCTCGTCCACGATGCCCACAACTTGGGGTGCATCTTCAGTCAACTCGTATAAATCTAAGGCAGCGTCGTCCAGAGCCTGTAGTTTGCTGAGGTCAACGTCATCATCAATCACTTTCACCTTGGGCCTGAAAAGCATTAAAATTGAACCAGGTTAGCATAAAGTAAACAAAATAATTATGTTACACACAAGAAAACAAACCAGGAAATGTAATAATGGACACTATGGGGGAAACGCAAAAACAAACCGTAAAACTGCCTCGCCACTCTTAGGCTTCTTCTTCTTTTTCTTTTTGCCTTCAGCACCACCGGAGAGATATTTCTTCAAATAATCTTTCTGGGAAAGTTTGGTCGCGCTAGACGACATTGTTCTTTCGATTCAAACAACACAGCCGGTGTACGATTTCGGAGGTTATGTTGACGTTTCGTTGTCGTCTGGCTCTCATTGGAGCTGCCAGTCCACAACCATAAAATTGGCGTGCATAGATGGATCTAGGAACAGGAATAAAGAGAAAATTTTGCATCAAACATAATTAATTTATTGTCTTAGAACTATGCATCCAGGTCTTTTCCCACGCTACAGGCAGAGCTGCAAAGTACAACAGTTTCTTTCAATGTTGCAGTGTTGGTAATGCTTTCCCGCCAAGAGGGCAGGCAGCTCAAAGCCATGGAGGGTCCGGTCCACAGTGGGCCAGAAGCCGGTGGAGGCGGCCAAAACTCTAGACGCGTTTTGAGCTCCAGAGTCGCTAAACAGGCCTCGAAATGAACGTGTGACCCCACCAATGGATTCCTCGTCCGGAGAGCAATCCATTGGTGGGGTCACACGTTCGGTTCGAGTCCCATTTAGCGACTCTGGAGCTCAAAACGTGTCCAGAGTTTTGGCCGCCTCCACCGGTCTTCTGGCCCACTGTGCGGTCGGTCGCACAAGCGTCTTTTCCCTCTATGATGCAAAAGAGTTCCCGCCGTCTCTGCGTGAAGACGACTTCAATGCTTCAGTCATGCCGTGCCTGCCGTGCTGTCGCACGGGCGTAGCCAGCTTAGCTTATCTCTGAGCTCGGCCAGAACATGAAGCCCCCTGTGAGGAAGCAAGCCCGCCGAGCCTGCGTGTCGTGCGGGACGGCCTACCCTCGACTTCGCAGGCGCTTCGTCCAGGATCGTGCAAACAACGCCACTTCCGGTCAATGCAAGCAGAAGCTGCTGCCTCACTGAGTGCGACACTTTCATTCAATCCATCCGTCTTGCGAGTTTCTGTCCGCCTTCTGGACGACATGGTGGAGGTGACAGTGGTTTTTTTTTTGTCGTCGATGTTTTATTTTTATTTTTAATGAAGGACTCAGTAGAAGATGAGCGGCTCCCTGCGCATGCGCCGCGCGCGCACCCGGCGCTGCAGCTTGTCGCTGTTGAGGACGACGAGGCGGCCGTCCATGGCGGTCATGATGGGGCTGTGGACCTGCAGGTAGTCCACGAACAAGTCGATGTCCACGCGGCCTGCGGAATGTCGCCGAATCGTTTCATCTCGACATTCAAACAAGAAACTGGTGGCACTTTCAAGGAGGAGTTGGTTACCTATTTGACGGTTTCGGAGGTTTTGGGTGAACGTCACGAAGTTGTCCCCGCCCTCGACGATGAAGGAGGAGGAGGCGATGGTGTACCACTGGTCGTCCTGGATGGGCTCGTAGGTGGGCACCCTGCACGCGGCGCACAGCACCTCGGAGTGCAGCTGGAACACGCCACGACGCAAGTCACACGCAAGTCACCACGGCGTGGCCCCGCACAGTGGGCCAGAAGACCGGCGCAGGCGGCCAAAACTCTAGACGCGTTTTGAGCTCCAGAGTCGCTAAACGAGACTCGAACCGAACGTGTGACCCCACCAATGAATTGCTCTCCGAACGAGGAATCCGTTGGTGGGGTCACACGTTCGGTCCGAGTCCCATTTAGCGCGACTCTAGAGCTCAAAACGCGTCCGGGATTTAGACCGCCTTCGCCGGTCTTCCGGCCCACTGTGCGGCCCAGGGTGGTCGGCATACTCACCACGCGCTGCCTGGACGGCTTGCTGGCGTCGTACTTGACCCGGAGCCCCGCCCAGTGCAGCAGCGACGAGTTGGGCTCCACGTTGTCCTCCAGCAGCTCCTTGAGGTGCTTGCCCTGCAGCTCCACCAGGTCGATGGTGCTCGCGAACGGCTGGGCCGCCACCATGTCGGCGTACGTGATGTCTGCGGAGGTTGCCACATTATTTGGGAGCGTGTTCGGTTTTCAGGGCGAGTGTGTTTTGCCGGTTACGCGATTTGTGCGTACTTCCTGGCGAGATGTTGGTCCTCAGGCCGCCGGCGTTGGTGAAGGCGATGGCTGCGGCCGTCCACGTCCCCTCCGGGCCTTTTTTTATTTTGTACTGCTCAACGAAAGCCCAAGTAGCTTAGCTCTCAGTTTAATTTCTGAAACCCCCCAAAGAGGCAGGGCCGCGCGTGGTCTGGCAACACTTTTGGGTGACTGTACAGTTTGTTTGCCCTGTACGCGAGGCACTTCGTTCAAGTGGAGGACTATACTCGCGAGGATTAGCCCGCGAGATTAAAAGACGGCCGGCAAACAGACTCCCCGCGATCGGTGACGTTTCTCAATAGTCGGGTCCGTCACACTTTGATAGCGCATACCTATGTCGGCAAACACTCCTCTGCTCGCCGTGCCACATTCTTTCAAACGAAAACCCACGACAAAACTGAACGTTCTCTCTTGATGTGACAGATCTCGGATGAATTTCAACGACCGTGACGTCACCCTCGTTGAATGAAAGTGGTGGAGCGCACTCACGTAGTCCAGCATGGCGTCGGCGACGAAGTTGCCCAGCGTGCACTCGCCGCTGTAGCAGTCGTGGGTCATCTTGTCCAGCTCCACGAGGGTGCTCCCCACCACCACGTGGCCGCGCGCCTCCACCTTCTCCTTCCAGGGCTGCATCTCCTGGAGCATGGCCTCGTCTGCGGGGGGAATAAAGAATAAGCAGTTGTTTTTTGTTGTTGTTAGACCGGATTCGGCGGGCCAATGCCCTCACGCCTCGCCTGGCTGGCCAGGCTGGCCCACCTTGGGGCAGGTCGGAGTCCATGTAGATGGGATTGCCGGACCAGGAGGCCACCTCGCCCTGCTCGTCGAACGTCACCATGAGGTTGCCCAGGTACTTGGTGTAGGCGGCGGCCTGCACCACCAGCACCGTCCGGTCGTCCGTGCGGCCGGTCGCTCGGTTCACCACCTCCGGGTACGGGCCGTACGCGTGGTCGCCGCCGGGGGGCGGTCCTGCGGGACAGAAGCAGAGTTTGTGACAGTGTACACTCTTACAATGTACAAGCCAGTCGCGTGGCCGGTGGCAGCAGCGCGCGACGTCGCTTATCGGTGGCGATGGACTGTGCAGCGCCGACCCACATCCTCAACACCTTCAAGATCGCGAAAAAAAAAATCGACGTCAAGGCATGCGGTGGGAATCGAACCCGCAACCCTCACCGTTGTACAGCAGCGTGTGCGAGTGCGCGCCCACGATGACGTCAGCGTACTTGGTCTTCTGGGCCACCGCCAGGTCGACGTCGAGCCCCGCGTGCGACAGAGCCACGATGATGTCCACGCCCTGCTCTCGCTTCAGCCGCTCGGCCTCCTTGTCCAGGGCCTCCAGCTCGTCGCCGAACTTGAGCTTCTCCGTCGTCGCGATCGTCTGGGGCAAAGGGCGAGGTTCAGCGACATGCCAACGGCCGAGCCAACGGCGGAGGGAGGGGATTCGTCGCACTTTTTGGCTGCAGCCAGGCGGAAATTACCCTGGATTGCCATGGCTTTCCCACGGCCCACAGTGGACCAGAAGTAAGGTGGAGGCGTCCAAAACTCCAGTCGCGTTTTGAGCTCCAGAGTCGCTAAACAGGACTCGATCCGATCGTGTGACCCCACTAATGGATTGCCCTCCGAATGAGCAATCCATTGGTGGGGTCACACGTTCGGTTCGAGTCCTGTTTAGCGACTCTGGAGCTCAAAGCGCGTCCGGGATTTCGACCGCCTCCACCGGTCTTCTGGCCCACTGTGCGGCCTGCGCATCAGGCGGGGCGGACTTGGCGGACTCACCCACGTGTCCTTCCAGATGTAGCCGACGATGCCGATGGTGAGGCCGTTCTTGACCACCACCACGGAGGGCTGCCACAGCCCGTGCATGCGCGGCTCCTCGCTGTCGTCCATGTTGGCGATCACGAAGGGCGCCACCTGGCCGGTCTTCTCCAGGAACGGGGTCAGGCCGGCGATGCCGTTGTCGAACTCGTGGTTGCCGATGGTCTGCGGGGGCAGTGTGGGGCAGTGGCACCGTTACAGTGTGTCCGCAGCGAGTCCCTGGCTGGCTGGAGTCTCTCGCGCGCGGGTCGTCGTCACCGTCGCAGTCACATGACAATCCTTTCGAGTTGACACGACATGACGGCTCGTTTCCGGAACTATGTGAGGTCGAAAAGTCGGAACGGAAGCTCTCGGGACTCGCCACTCGGGCAATGAAATGCCCTGTGTGGCGGGCTGCCTACCCCGGCCTACCCACAGGGGCCACAATGCGGTCCCTCTCGCACCCCTAGGGCAATGCTCACGAGTGCGAGAGAGACAGAGTCGGGCTTCTCACGCCCTGACCTACCAGCGCGTCCCACGGCAGCTCGCTCATGAACTGCGCCGTGGCGCTGCCCTTGAAGAGCGAGAACCACAGTGTGCCCTGGAAGTTGTCGCCGCCGTTGAGCACCAGGGCTTGGGGGTTGCGCTCGCGCTCGGCGGCGATGGCCTTGGCGACGCGCGCCAGCCCTCCGATGCACTTGTCGCCCTCCTTGCAGGCGCCGGCCGTGTGCGAGACGGGCTCGAAGCGCGCGTGGAAGTCGTTGAGGTGGACGATCTGCAGCGACCTGGCGTCGGCAGCGCCCGCCTCCACCACCTGCACGGCCTCGGCGGCCTGGGGCAAGCGCGCGGCCAGCACCGCCACCGCCAGCACCGTCGCCCACGTTGCCGCCATCCAACGAGGGCGCGCTGGAAGAGACCGGCGTGTCAGTACCCCGCACACTCGGAAAATGTCACTCGGTCGCGGAGTATCGCCGTGTCGACACGCACCTGTGCCTCCGGGCGGGTCACGGACGTGTGGTTGCGTCGGCATCATGCTGTCGGCGTCCGTTGCGCGGCCGTCGGCTCCGGTGCTGTGTTCGCAGTCTTTACAAAAGTTCACACACTGTTGGACGTTCACGACGTTCGCACGGCGTCGCTGGCGTCGCCGCACTGCGGGTCGGTGGTCGGCACACTGCGAGATGCGCCGCGCTGCCCCGCGCGCCCCGCGCTCTTGCACAGTGGTATCTCGCGACGAAGTTTGCATACGCACCGTCCCTGTCCCTGTCCTGCCCTGCACGTTGTTTGGGGCACTGACATTTCCCCCTCCGCTCAGTCTGCAGCCAATCGCAACGACGCGCCCAACCGCGCCTCGTTTGAATTCTCCCGCCAGACAAACGACTTCCCCTTCCCAGTCCTTCCCCTTCCCCTCCCCCCTCCCGATGTTTTCTTCCCGCAACTGTCGACCGCTTGTCGTCAGCTGCGCTGGGTTCCTCAAAGTTGCGACATGATTCGACCTAAAATTTCCGACAGCCTTGCCAGGCTCCGATTTCTGGATTTGGAGGTGATTTTAAAACTTGGAAGTTAACGTTTGACGTGATTTTCTTAGTCTGTCAAGCAGTGATACTACAGGAAACGAATCGATCCTACCCTTGGTACAGGTTACTGTACCCTTGAGAAAGGCGTAGTTTATCGCTTCTGCCCTTTTTCGTCCCCTTTACCCCGTAACTGAGTGATAATTTGAATTCTTCAAGTTTTCTTTAACAGCAATTTATCTTGTTGTGCCTAGGTGCCTCAAACATCATTCTGTCGGCTAGCCCACACTCCTTCTACTCTTCCAGACAAGATCAAGAAGCGAATTGCAGAGGGACCTGGCTTAGAACATTTCATCTCTGAATCAACTGAGAATATAAATGAAAGTAGTGAGGATTATCAAGGAAAACTTCGTCGGGCTAAAGGTAGAGTGTATATGTTATAGCTTCGTCACCAACCAGAGGAAAGTGTTCCGAAACTAGAATTATGTTCTTGATTGTACTGTTCTGTTGCTTCAGGTGATGGAGACAGATTGCGTTTGCCGCCCTGGTTGAAAACTAAGATCCCAACTGGTCAAAATTTCAGTCGTATCAAGGAGCAGCTACGAGGATTGAATTTGCACACCGTGTGTGAGGAAGCTCGTTGCCCTAACATTGGAGAATGCTGGGGCGGTGGAAAACATGGAACAGCTACTGCCACCATCATGGTAATATTTTGTCTGTTACTCTATTTTCAGGCACAAGACCAAAGACTTATTCCTCTCTCATTTGTAGCTGCTTGGAGACACCTGCACAAGAGGATGTCGGTTTTGCTCTGTCAAAACTGCTCGTAAACCACCACCACCTGATGCAAATGAACCTGTGAACACGGCAGGTGCCATAGCTTCATGGGGATTAGATTATGTTGTTTTGACATCTGTCGACAGAGATGGTACTCTTCATCTGTCTTTTGCTTTATAAAATGGAAATGAGTTTGAAGTTTCCCTCAATGACCTCTTGATTTGTAACTGCTTCTTTTATTTCTTTTTTTTTTCTTTTTAGATTTGGAAGATGGTGGATCCAATCATTTTGCAGAGACTGTGAGGGAAATAAAAAGGCTGTAAGCATTCTAAAATCAGAAGAATTTTTTTTCTTATTTTTTTACCTTCTAAATGTTTTTTTTTCTCATCTTAATATTTTTGAAAATTTTGGTCCTTATTTTATTTTTTGGACACTTTACAGCAATCCTGAAATTTTAGTGGAATGTTTGGTGCCTGACTTTAGAGGAAATCAAGATCATGTGAAAACAATAGCTTTGTCAGGCCTTGACGTATTTGCGCACAATATTGAGACTGTGGAGATTTTGACACCATTTGTTCGTGATAGGAGGGCCCATTACAGGTCAGTTATTTTTAGAAATACTTGATTAAATTTTTCTTTGTATCTGTGTGTTTTTCATCTCTTTCTCACAGTGAATCTTAACATCTGTGCTTCACAGGCAATCGCTTACAGTTTTGAAAGGAGCTAAGGAGGCAAATCCGGATCTTATAACAAAGTCATCTATAATGCTCGGTCTCGGAGAGACAGACGAACAAGTTCAACAGACAATGAAAGGTAGAAACAAGAAATTCTCCAAACCAGAAACAGGAAGTGAAAAAAAAAACTGTTTTAATTTATTGTTTGTTGATGCGTTATTTTCTAGATCTGCATGATGCCGGAGTGGACTGTGTTACCCTAGGACAATACATGCAGCCAACAAAAAAGCATTTGATGGTAATTTTAAAAAAATATCATATATCCTTAAACGAGGAGCTGTATCTGGCACTTTTTTAATGTTTGTCCTTTGTGAATTTCAGGTTGTTGAGTACGTAACACCAGAGAAATTCAAGCATTGGGAAAACATTGGAAATGAGATGGGATTCTTATACACAGCAAGTGGACCTTTAGTTCGTAGTTCCTACAAAGCAGGAGAATTCTTCATTTCTAGTATATTGCGCAAGAAACGAGCTATGAAAGAGTAGAATTTAGTCACACATTGTTAACCCATTTCTACTGCAAAGTTCAAATTATTGTTGTCTGTTACTTCTGAATATTCCTTTGATGTTCCTAGAGTCAATGTTTTATTATTATTTTTCTTTTTCTAATTTTAAGGTATGGTTTGCTGAGGTAAGCAAGGAAAATAGAACAAGTCAACATTGCTGATATATTCTTATTTATTGACATAATTTAAATCTTCTCTCAAAGCATACTAAAAGAGTAGTAAAATTCTACCGTTAATATAAAAATCTCTCTTAATTATAAACAAAGGCATCACAGTCTGTTAGAGCTTATGCTCATGGAAGCTTCTAATAAAGGAACAACAGTCGAAAATCAACAAGTATTGTGCACAAAGAGATACATTTCACTTTCTAAAAAGTAGCCCTAATAACCATAAAACCATAAATACTTCTCTCAATTGTCCCAGCCAGCACCCCAGTCCTCATCATCCCAATCAGAAGCAGCATTTGGCAAGGCAGCAGGGGGCAGTTCATCTTCCGACTGTTTATCTAAAGATGTCTCTAAAGGTGCACTCGATGTAGCTTGGTCTCGAGGGGGAACCCTAGCAAATGCACTTTGAGGAGAAGGGAGGAGAGGAGGACTTATATGTTTTTGCCTTTTCATAACATCTTTATCATTGAAACCTTCACAATTTTCTTTTTCTGCATCTATCCTTTCTAACTCTTCATCAGACCAGCCACCCCAACCATCTTGATTACTCCACTCATTAGCCTTGACCTTTGCATCTTGTTGCTCCTGAACTCGTTTTTCCTTGGCACTACGAATTTCCCTTCTGGTGGGTTCGTCAACTATTCCTCCCACATCCTTCTGCTCTGTCTCATTTTCCTCCACATCACTCCAGTCATTGTCCCCGGCATCCCAGTCGGTGTCAGTGCATGCCCGTGTCTCTGGTGATGTGAGGACTGAGGACTCAGCTTCAGCTTTCGAAACTTTGTGCTCGATGACCTTGTCAACAGGTTTAATATTTGCCACAACGCTAGGTGCTGTCTGCTTTAGACCCATCATTAAGGAGGACGAAAATGTGCGCATAAAAGAGGGAACAGAATGAATCGATCGCAAGATAACTGCTCCAGCCTCTGGTATGTGCCTCCTATTCAACAATGTCTTAACAATGCTTTCAACTGAGGAGGGCTGAGAAGCTATGACACTAGAGAGGAGATCAGAGTAAGCTGGAGTTGACAGCAGATCTACAGTCAAATTGCGGGAAAGGGCAACTTCTGCCACTTTGTCATGAAAAGGTACCTGCCAATACAGAAAACATCCAGTGAAAGGCAGTGGAAAACACACCTACATAAGGCTTTAGGATGTAATTAGATACATTTGGGGCTTACCGTTAGCCACTGCTGCGCAAGAGAAACAGCTTTACGATGTGCCTTTGAATCATTACTTAGTAAGCAGATAAGGATCAATAGCTGGACGTCAACCTGAGGTTCTGTATCATCATCTTCAGTTTCATCACCATCATTAGATGCTTGCTCAGTTTTACTCTGAACCTCCGATAAAAATTTGTCGAGATGCTGGAGCAAAAAAAGACAGCAAGGGTAATTGAAGTAGACAAAATTTGTAAGTCACCCGTGAAACGACAAGAATTACTTACATCATACGACATCAGATATCTACTACTTATGTCAATGATGAATGATGCTTTCTGATCAGTCCATTGTCCACTCTCACACAGCACACAATTCATCAGCAACTGGCTATACAGCACAGATACACTAAAAGAAGAAGATAAAAACATTTTAAAATAGAAAGTAAGAAGGCTAAATCTTTATTTCTTTAATTTTTTAAATTTACAATTTACCTTTCACAACTGTCAGAAAATGGTGGCCATAGATCCAAAAGTCTCTGCAATGATTGCCTCTGCTGCCATGAGTTTGTATTCTGAATAAGCTGAATGAGAAGGCTACATCTTCTGTCTTCATCTTCAATATCTCCATTTAATACTGGAATCTGAGGCCATGATGATGCAAGAATTGCTTGAGTATGGAAAAAGAGAAGGGATGGCTCTTGAACTTTCTCAGATTTATTTTGCTGAGGAAAAGAAGTCAAGATTTTATTAGCAAGCCATAACATTCAATCACTTCTGGTGACAGATTCCAAATAAATTTATACCTGAATTATATTAAAGACTTTTAATTTCTGATCAGGGGGAAGCTGTTCATTAGTTGCCAATGGACGTAAAATCTCATCCCATTCATCAATATTTCCTTGCAGTTTGCCCAATTGAGCAAGTTGTTCTAGTCGCAGAAGAGCTGCATTCAACCCAGCAAAACTGTCTCCTTGACTATTCCTAGAAAAAAAATCAAATAAAAATTGAAAGAGTTTCACAAAAAAAAGCAGGTAATAAATACAAATTTCTGGAACATACTGAAAAGCATCCACATGATTCTTGAAAACGTCTAACATCAACATTTCCTCTGATAAACTGCATGCTGAGGATGTAACTTTCAACAGGTCAAGAAGAAACCTTGCAGACTTTTGGTCATTCAGGAAAGTGTCTCTGAGAAGACTGATCAGGTCTTCCTTTTCTCCATTTGTGTGTAAATATTGCCTAAAATAAAATTTCAAAACCCATTAATAGAGGTTTTAATTTTTAATGGCAATGCCACTTGAGGATAAAGACAGAGACAGAGGTCCTTACTTGCAGCATTCTTCTTCAGGCCAGTTCTCCATGAGCCACCTTGAGGTGCGAACGTGGCCCTTCCAGTGGGCCAGTTGCTCCATACAAGGCTCACTCCCCGCAAAATCACAATTTAGCAGAGTTGCAGCAATCAGCTCCTCAGCCAGTTCAAGGGGAAGGGAAGCTGTTGAAGGAGTTTTATCCAAAAAGGTACTTTCTATTACTGGCATTATATCCTCTGCCTTAATATTGGCAAGAATTGGAACCAGTTTCTCAACAGAAACATTCTTAGACTTCTGGAACAGTACAAGTAGTAAAACCAATTTATGAATAAACAAACATTTTTGTTATAAAAATGTCGAATTCTGCGGGTTTTACTTACCAGTTGAGATTTGAGGTATACTGTGTAAAGAACACTTGCTGACAAAGGGGATGCCAAGGCAGCGGGCATGGCTTTTAAAAGTTTAGCAACCAGAGGAATGTTCTCAACAGTAAGTGAAGACTCAACAGCTTTAATAGTGTTCTTTGGACCCGATATGAGTAGCTTATAATCAATGACTGCATTTGGAAATAATAATAAAATGTAAATCACAGTGAAAGATTGGAACAAAGCACACTTAAGGCAGAAACTCAGGTTCACTTACCAGCAGTAGTAGCTTTCACCTTAGACAATAGTTTCAAATGGTCTTTGGGAAGTAGTCTAGCACTCCTATGGGAAGGGGCTACTTTGCTTAGAATTGTATAATACAACTCAAGAAGACAAAGCTGTGTTCCATCGATGTTTGAGAACACATGTGTCTCCAACCTGTGGGATGAATATAATTAATCAATATCATTACTGGCAGTATTATTAGAATACTTTTTTGTAATTGCAATTACTTTTCTTTGATTGCATCTGATGCCTCCTCTAGAATGTTTTCAAACTCAGTTCCTGACAGACGCTGCTTTACTTCAGAATCAGATAGTTCACTCAAAAGAAGGTTGGCAATATGTTCAGCAACAACTTGACCACGATCGACACCATGTCTAGCTGCAAGTGCCAAGGCGAACCGTAATCTCTCACTGTCTTCATGCCTACAGAAAGAAAATGAGAATAGATTTATAGTTTTGACAAAGTTGTTGCACACAAAACAAATATATACCAAAAACAAATTAACATACATAGCTAGGCCCAAAATAGAATCATGACGATACTGCTCATCAGATGCAAATCTGCTCACATCAACACCACAATCCAAAGTTAAAAGATCTTGAGCCTGGACATAATCAGCAAGTTGTGCTCTCCACCTTAGCAGCTCTGGTTGCCATATATCATCTTTATTTTTATCTTGAGCAGCAAGTGAAATCACCTAAAACAAAACAAAACATTTAAAATTGATTAAAAGCTGTCATTAATTCATTTGATGCTGACTTTATTGTGCATTCAATTACCTCACGAGGGTCGTAGAGCAGCACATTGTGCATTTTTTCCCGATCACCATTGACAGCATTGCGGTACCAGCGTAGAGCAGCATAGTACTGTGCCAATTGCAAAGTAACTGATGATATGTTGGCTTCAAATACCTGTCGGCTTGCTTCTCTAGCACACGATTCAGGTAAAGACATAAGGTAACCAAGACCAAGACAGTTATCTTCAGGTAGCACAGAAATGGCACACTCTGACAAAACTTGATAACAAAAAGAAAAAAAAGACAATATGAATGAGTAAGTACAAGATATAGGACAATTTCAATAAACAACAAGTGAAATAAACACAAGTACCTTTAGTAATATCAAGTTTGTTTGACCCCGATTCTTGCTCAAACAAAGCTATCCGCAAAAGAGCTTGCTCAAACTGTAGTTGAGGAGGAATATCCGGAGCTGAGAAACAGTCATAGCGGCAACCCAGTCTACTTGTGGAATATGGGGTTGCGTCATATAGTGAAGAATAAAATGCATGGCAGGTGTAGTGTTCCGGTGATGTAGTGGATTGTAATGCATCATCTTCAGCACTATCATCCCAGCTGAAAAATATATGAAATAATACAATTAATGTGAAATAACAGGATGATGAATAATAAAGAGCAAGCAAGCAAAGAAATGAAATGACACAGCTATTGTAATGTGAATTTTACCCAATGCGAAGAGCCTTCTTCCAAAATTGAGAGTCTCCTACACTGCTTAAAAGGCGCTGAGTTGTTTCTTGTACACTTGACTCTCCAAAGGGTAAGTTTTGTAAAAAGTCCATTCCAAAAGACTCAGACTGAAAATGAGAAACGGTAATGTATTTCCAAGAAAATAGGTGTAACATTTATTCTGCATGAAGATCATATTCTTACTTGGGCCTGTCCGACTTGGCCTTCCAGATGAACAGAGAGACTCGAATTATGCATAGCAATTTGATTCTTCATACCCTCTTGCAAAGACTCAATTTCCAAAGACCGTCTAGGGGAAGAATAGACGAAAAACATCAGGAAAGATAAGATAAGTTATATGTGTTGAAACAGAACCAAAACCAACCTCCTGTTAACCAAATCTTGTAGCACTTCAGTGGGGCAATATTGCAATGCAAAGGATAAAAGATGGCTCCTAGTTGCAACATCCTTAAACTCTGAGCAGCTGGCTACCTCACTAGCTATAGACCAACCGTCAGTGTAAGAAGCATCGACTAGGCGCTTGCATGTGTCAGCACAGCTGCGATAATCCTTTGACTGAAACATAAAATTTCCTTATTTCAACTGCAAATAATTTTAGTAGACCGTAAACCATAATATAGAAAGCTTACATGAAATGCCGCTTCAGCTACCAACACAAGAACACGCCCTTGCCTTTCCTTCGGGTTGTTGTTGTTAATGTTCAAGCAAGCAGCAAGCTGCAGTATTTTACTTGGATTGCGATGTGCTCCAGATTTTTTCTTTAAGCAGTCCTCAATTAGCTTTAGTCTATCAGGACATAGACGCACTGCCAATATACCAACAGACACAGGGATGTTAATACATGTAATATTTATAGGTTTCAAAGAGTCATTCAAAGTATTTCTTACCTTGAATGGGTAGCATTTTGATTCCAAACTCATGGAGAAGTTGGAATGAATACAAGAGATTGCGTTCCTCCTGAATTTCTGGATCTTCAGATGGTAAAAGGTGCAAACAAGCCCTAAAAATAAATATCCAATTAACTTGGGTGTCCCACATCAAGGCACAACCATGAGAAATGGTTTAGTTGTCAGACAGCATTTCACCTGGCAAAGTCCATGGCAGGATCAGTCAAAGACCCTGCAGAATCCATGTACTCTCTAGCTGCCGAAAGCACAAGCTCAGTGCATTTATCTGCAGGTATGTATGTCTCTGAGCGGAGATCGCCTCTTGATTGTGCTGAGGGGTTTATGTAATTTCCAGATAATTTAATAGATGCCATGTTACCAGAAGATAACAATGTTGAACAGAAAACCTGCAGATGGAAAAAAGATAAGTACCCCAATCCAATATGAAATTTCATTTAATTAGACACAGCTCTGTGATTCAGATGACTTACTTCATAACAGGTACTTGGAGGGACACAAGTAAATACTGATCGCTGCAAATCCAGAATATCACCAAGCAAAGTAGACCAAACAACCTCTGAAGGAGGTGGATTTCTGACAAAAGACAGAGAGCATATCAAAATAAATCAAACAAAGGATAAAAGGACTATCAATGCCTTAAAAATAGGAACAAACCTATTGGCTACTGTTCTTGAGAGTCGAGTAAGAAGTTGTGTGACTAACTGCGCATCACTCTTGTTGTCCCTTATATAGCCCAGGGACTTAGCTGTCCCATTGCGGCGGAGGATTAAGCTTGCTGCTAGCTCGAGCTCTAGAGCATCTAACTGCTCTGTATGAGAAACAGTAAGGACCCTGGAAGAAAAAAGAAAAATACTGTAATGCAGAGGAATGGAAGAAGGCAGACCAAAACGCTCCTTTCAAGCTAGAGACAGTGGCTCACCTTTGAACTGGGATAGCTGCCAGTATGCCTTGAGCAAGGTGCAGGTGGTCTGTATCCACATAAGAATAAATGCAATCTATTGCTATGGTGGAGATTTCATCAGGTGTCAGTCCGCATGACAATTCGTCTTGTCCTTCAAAAAACTGTACAGAAATATTTTTAAAATAATTTAAAACACCAATAAAATACTGAATAGTGCATGCCTTAGAAGGGTAATGAAAAAATCGACAACCTTGAGGGGCAGAGTCAAGCTTTCACTGGATACAGATATGAGATAGTCATGGAGAAGATGATATTTCATTCCTGGTTGTTCTTTCTCAACACGCTCCACATATGGGAAGAGCAGTCTACTCATGTCCTCAAGGAATGAGTTTTCAGTTGTCTTCAAAGATAAACAAATGTACAAATGAAACAAATTGATGAACCAATAAAAATTAATATGACAATTTGATAATGGAACTGAATGGACATTGTAAGACCTACTTTCGACATCAAAAGCTTGCACTTTTCCAAAGGAGATTTCTTTTCCAAGTCTGCAAGACTTACATCTTCCAGAAATAGCTCATATACAAGAGCATCCAAGATTTGTAATTCTTGATGAAGGTCACCCAAACCCTGTGCAGGATCAAATTTCCTTAGTTTTGGGCAAAGTTGAATCTTGTTTCTCTTTTGATTACAGTACACAAGCCTATGTTAAGTTCTCACCTCAATATGATTATCTAGAGCTAAACGAAGCAAAACAAGAGCATTGTCCACCATTCTGCTTGACCTCTCAATCATTCTGATTCGTTCCAGATACCACTGCTGAATCAGCTTGGGAGTTAGATCTTCAACAGGAATGCGATATGCAGACAAGCCTGGTTCATATTCATAAAGCCACTCAGTGTCTTTGTCTGGAGTGTCAAGATCCAAACCCCTCACACACCTTGATGCAATTTAATTTAAATTAATGAGAGAAAGGAAAAATTACATCAATTCACAAAGAAATTAAGGTGACACTCACCCATAAGGATCCTTTTCACTCCAATCAAGTTCACGGAGCTGCGTTTCTTGCCAGGAGAAGACAACACCGTCATGTGTCAGCTCAGGAAGTAAAGACCTAAAAGAAACAAATATTTTTAACTTCTTTTGGGGGAATATTTATGGAAATTTTTATATGAAAAACAACAACGATACAAACTTGTACTCAGTAGGGCAAACAGTCTCTGGAAAATTAGAGAGTATGGGGAGCCAATGATGTAATGTTTGACTTCCTTCATAGGTAAGCATACATTCAACTGCTTGACTATTGGCTGCTCTTGCAAACTGAACACATGCACGTAAAGATGATGAGGCTCGAAACACAGCATACACAGTGTGCTCGAACAATTCATCTGCAAGTTGAGTGCCACCAAGAATTTTCTGAAACCACAATACAATTATTAAGACAAGACAAGATAAAAAAAAAAAAGTGAATGTGGTTTTTGAAAATTAAAAGTTGTTTAGTTTTCAGAAATTAACTTACTTCATACATGGTAAGGCGATCTTGGTATCGCAACAGTGTGTGTCGACAAAGAAGAAACTCTTTTTGCTTGTCAGTCATTTCATCAACATCTTTGACTTTGCGCTTACTTCCTAAGTTTCGGAAAGCCTCTTTGCTTGTAGCTTTTAGTCCAAACTCCACCAATTCTCGAGCAGCAAGAAGTGATTCTGGTACTCTGTCCAGACACTCCCTGAGTACCCAGGTCTGGTTGGACACCTTACTCAGGTAATCTCGGATAGTTGCAACAGACACCTTATTGTTTCGCCATTGTCTTTGGTACACAAGGTCACAATCCAGATTATATGTATGAGCCAAGGTAAGGGCTTCACCATATTCTTCATTGTCCAGCTGTATGCAGATAATAAAAATTCAGTTCTGACTAGGTACCAATATCATGTCTCATACCAATAACATTTTCACCAACTGACCTTTCTGGAGTAAAGTTCTTCAGGTGTAGTGCTTCGAAGTGCCAGCAGTCTATAGGTGCGCCTGCATAGTCTCAGTCTTCTACGTCTTGGTCTAAAGCGTTCCAGGTCTGTTACCAAATATGCAACTGAATTGACAATAGTTATCACTCGTTGAAAAAGGGTTGTAGGAATATCTTCCTCTTCATCACTTAACTCTGATACTGACTCCTCCTGCAATTTCAAAATGGTCAATTTATATAATCAATATAGGAAACTGAGATGCTCAGCATTCAAGAGACTTAATACAATTTAAATTACCTCAAACGTTTCATCATCATTGAGACGGCTCTTGCAAAAGACATCTACATCACATTCAAGGGCAAGAAACCCCTTCTCATTATGAAATCTTCTCACTTGTGCGGAGCCAGCCAAAAACTCAGGACTCTCACCCAATAAATTTTGAAGGTTAGATATTTCACACACAGTAACAGCTCCAGAGTTTCTTACCACCACAAGAGCCTAAAAGAATAACAAAAATTATTATTATCAAAAACCTCAATGAGTAGACAAGCATGTACGCAGTGCTCCCTCTAAGAGTTACCCACCTCATCAGACCACCAGTCCAAATCAACTGGAGAGAAAGATTCATTTGAGAGAGGGGCCTGTAAGCCAGCGGATCGCTTCCCATTGGGCGACTCTGCCTCTACATTGAGGGGATTCTGGGCATTCCAGTCTGGCTGCTCGACAAGAGGCCAATATCCTAGAAGCCTGAAGACAGGAAAATTAGTAGTCACACAGTAGTCACAATGTGGAAGCGGTAAAGGGTTAAGACCCACCTTACACCCGGCAATGACCATACAGAAATTCCACCACAAGAATGTAATGCAGCAATTCGTCTAGCAGAAGGGGAAATTTCTAGACGAATTATCACACTCTGAAAATAAAATTTTTAACAATTTACATTACAACTGATATAGTTAGGAATTTTTTGTTAGTAAAAATTGAATTGGTAAAGAACGATCTAGATTCAGAAAAAGTAGAGGTTTCACATTACCTGCTGGTGCTTTGAGCCAAAGTATGGTATTCTCCATAAGCCACTGGACAAAGAAGTACTCTCATATTTTTTGTCCTGATTTACAAGCTGATAAAAAGGGTGGTCGTTTAAAATTCTCCATGTTGTGAGGCCTACACGATCTCCAGACTCCTGTAAAATAAATGTAAATGAAGAATGGGAATAATAACATCAAAATAGAATATATTTTTAAAACAGTACTTCTAATGTCATATTTCCTCTTGACATGACAGGTCCCGCAACAAACAGTAAAGAATGTGCAGGATGATATGCCACGGCAGTTACACCGGACCGAAAGAATACACCAAAAGAAAATGAATGATTTTCTTGGAAGCCCTCGGTTGGAGACACAAGATAGCTGTGCAACTGACCACTGTAGTCCACAGTAACTAGCTCACTTGACCTGAGAAATAAAGTTTCAGAATTAAGATGTTGTTTTACTTCCAAATAGAATACATGAGAGTTCCTCAATGACCTCTAGACAGCACAGGCTTACCATTTGTGCGTCGATGACCGAGCTTGAAGGAAGAAACATGATGCTAGAGAATGTCTGGTACTTGTAAAGGTCTGTTCTTGTTGAACCATTGACTGAAAAATAGAGGTGGAGATGAGTCCTTTTTGTTGACTTTATTTATAAAGCAATTTCAACATGAAAAAGGGAAAAAATATGGAAAAAAGAGAGTTAAGTTGCCTACCGGCACAATGGAAAAAAGATTGCTGCCCATCAAGTCATAGACACGAACAGCTCCATTACTCAAGCCCACTGCTAACATAGTGCAGTCCGGAGACCAACACCACCTTCTCCATTGCGGGAATAAATCTTTAGGTACTGTGGAAAGAACAGGAAAAATAATAATACAGCGGCATGGGGCCAAGAGCTCAAATTAAATTGTGATTCTGAACCTACAGGTTGCTTTGGCTATGACTGATGAATATTCATCCCGTGATGATCTTATTTCTAAAGATGAATCTTGAAGTAAAGCAACAACTTTGCCTCCATCACCAACACATAAACGCCATGGCTGCTGCCAGCTAAGAAGCCTGCGAACACCATTACATCACAATTACAAACTTTACATTGGTTTGCACAATGAATGAAACAAACAATAACATACCTTTCCACTTGTTCATGTCGGAATTCACAGCTCCGAAGAGCGAAAGCGTTTTTTAATAAAGAACTAAGTCCTTCTTGATTTTCAGAGAGACGTTTCTACAACAAAACAACAAATCATGAGACAGAATACACATACACGACTGATTGTTTAATAAAGTACGTTATATGTAGTAAAATTAAAGAGGCCCTATATCAAAGGAAAAACATGAAAAATTATCAAATTTATCTGAATCTCTGTTGTTAATGTAGCCTTAAATCCCTAACAGGTTATGAACAGTTTATTTTTTCTGATTTGAACTTACTGGCAATTCTGGATCTTGCTTCCATTCTGAGTACACGAGTAGTTCGTAAAGAATGCTACTGTCTGCCGGGACATCAGAAGCAGTACTGACAGTACTTTTATCCATTGTTAATGCAAAATGTAAACAGAAGAAGCAGACGGTACATGTCACCGTGTTGCCACTTCCCCTCCTCTCCCCTCCCCTTCCTTTCTCCTACACGTCAACAACAGTGTAGGCAACAGCCCAACCTCCATGCAGCACAACGGCTGCGCTCGTTAATTTTTACGATTAAAATCTTCTGTACTGTTGACAAACGATTTTAATTTTCACAGAGGAACTATTGGGAAAATAAAATATCATCCATCAGAGACATCAGAGACAGAATTGCCTCTGCGATAAGGAACTACAGCCGCCCATAAGACAGGCCGTAGAATGGAACTTCCCCCAGTGTTAGCCTGCAGACGCTGCAGGCTGAATACGAGTCATTTTCGACGTTTTCCTCTGTCTCTCTCGCACCTACGCGTTTTAAGTTCGAAGTGAATGTGGGAAAACGATGGAAAGGTGCGTTTTACGGTGTGTTGTGTCCTTTCAGTGCACCCGCGCTTATGCTGCTTGTCTAGAGGGCTCGTCCAGCTCGTCTTTCTACTGAGTGACAGGAGCGACAACAAACTGGCCGACTCATTGGGCCGGTACTTGTGAGTGATTGGTGTGATTCAAGGAAGAAGGAGGAAGAATTTTCTGACTCAATTCAGGACAAATTTTCATTTTATTTTTAAAAAGAAAAAGAAAAGGGATTGGGAATGAAAGCAGATGGAACAAATTAAGATCTGGGTCTGAGATTCTGCTCATGAAAAATTATGATCAGGGCAATGCAGCAAATAAGTTTACAGGTTGATAATAAAAATACTTAAATAGATGCAAAGAAGCTAAGTCCTGGTATTTTGTGATACCAGGTATTAGGTGCTCACAAGAAAATGACAGAAACTAGGTCACTGAAAACAGGGATGAACCTGAAAATTCCAGGTAATTTTAGGAAACAAGAGAGCAATTGAATTCAGCTACTGCGTATAACGCAAAGCCAGTTTAAAAAATATAATTCCTAGAGCTGGGAACATAAAAAATTACACCATCATGATTATTAAAAACTACAGTGTTTGTTACATTTTCAAGAAGAAAACAAACTGACATAATGGTTAATGCAATTACTGATAAAACAGTTCCATTAATTATCTCTCATCATACCAACACAAAAAATACAAGTGTTTGCATTGTAAAGATTTGTTCATAATATTGTAGCAGAAGGCAATGGTCAATTTCTTAGGATCTCGCTGACTAAGTCAATGATTAACTAAGACTTACAAAGGCATCAATAGAACTGTAATCACAAATTTAAGCACCAGTTTGAAAGAGTTGGGGTTGGGGGATTAACAACTAACAATAAAGGGGCTGGGGGTTTTGAGGCACTCACTGAGTGGTACACAAAAAATAACAGTTTTAATAACATTGACTGCTACTGCAACTGCCAGTCACAATAGAAAGGTATAGTAAAGTATAAGTATCCTCTCACAAGGATGAGGAGTTGCCTGTCACTTTCAGTTCTCAAACTCTAGAATTATTGGTGGTACATAATTGATGAAAAAGTTAATGTAATGCATTATGATTTTAATACAAAAGATTAAATTAGTTTATAAAATGTCATTAGTTACTTTTTTGAAGTATTGCCTACAGTAACACCACTCAGCATGCTACCAAAAGCAAATGCAGTCACCAAATTACATTTCTCAAAGTACGGTGAATTTGACATTGAAAATAAGAGGAAAGAAAAACAGTTTCCAATAAGTAGCAAAGCATGAGACAAGACTGGTTGAAGACAATCTCCTGTTTTGTTAGGTCATCTATACCCACTAACTGTTACCTACATTTACATCACCGAGTTTCTGAACTGACTTTCAGGATGTCAAAGACACATCCTTTCTTATAGCCTAACACCATCTCCTTATTGCTTTTTTTTTTCTTTTTTCCTTGTTTACAGAAATGATTAGTTACATATATAACAAACTTAGATATCAACAACAGGCTGAAGTTGACTTTACAAACACCAGCTTTAACAACTTGCAACAGTAGCTATAATACATTTATACACTTTTCTTTGTACTCTGTGAACCTTCCTTTAAAATACATAAAATACAATAATGCTGCATAATTTCAAACAAGGTCATCATAAAATCTCTTCAATTCATATGTACACGAAATATACAGCTAACCATGAGGCCCAACACATTTAATCATGTATGCTCAGATGAATAGTTTTAAGGATAAGCTCCAAAGGATGTCATTTATTTGTTCACTTGCACAACTTGTGGAGCTTAGTGTTTCCATGGTCATGCCTCTGAAAACTGGGTCATGGCTGTCTTCACCCTGAAAATAATTTTAAGTCAATCAAGGTAATGTCTTTAAATTGTTGCATACACAAGCTGTAAATCTATAGTTGAACACTTACTTGTCAAACAATAGTGTATCTGTTGTCATTATAAGTTGTTGTAGCTGCTTGTATACTCCCATTTCTTTCAGTCTTGCTTGTCGTTCAATGGCACCAGTTTCTTCTCTCCATACTAAATTTGAAATACAAAATATAGCTGCTACTTGTAGTTTTACATTTGAATGAGCCTGAAGAATAGGACAACAGTGTTAGACTGTGTAAATCATGATTGCAGAAAAATCTAGGACCCACCACAGTCAAGGATGCAGATCATACCATGTAATCTTGTAATTTTTTTAAGACATCTTCATTTGACATAATGAATTCCTTTGCAGTGTCACCATCGCCAATATTTGCTAATATACACAATGCCTGCTCTTTCACCTCTGCAGAATGATTGCCCTCAAGGATAAGCACCACAGCCTGGAAAAAACATCGGTGGTCTTTAAAACTTCAACAGATGCAGCCACATACAGTTGATCCTTGATATGAACTTACTTGCATAATTTGGTTGCCATGGAGGTTCATTATGTAATCAATATGACTTTTGGTGGAAAGTAAGTTTCTGAGTAAACCTAGTGTTTTCATCAATACATCTACCTCAGTATCAGAGAGTAACCTAAACATCTGGTCTGTCCCTAAAGTGTTTAAAATTTGTGACTTGATTTTTTGTTCAGCTTGGAAGGCCATATTCTGTGAACAAAGAATGCCAGGTTAACAGTGAATAAAAAAGTGTACCTAGAAGGTTTGATATCTCTGTCTTTAACTTTGAACTCACCATAAGAGCCCAAATTCCATTAAGTCTTAAAGCAGGATCTTTCCTCCGAGTCAACCCACAAAGCATGTCAACAGCCCCTGATTCTAAAATGGGCTCTTTAGAGGGTGAAAATTCAAGGAGGAGGTTGCACAGAGTTGAGGATGCAACTGTTAAAATGTCGTCCGATGCTCCTTGGAGAAGTGTCATCAGAGGCCTCCACACAGAATGATCCTTTGAACAGAAGGAGCGCTAAAATACATCAGAATCGACAAAGGTCCTTCACCAATCACACCTACTCAAGCAACATACCTGAAAGGTCGTTCTTAGCTGCTGAACAGATCGTGACAGAGAATGCAAACATCTAATAGCAGACAAGCGTACTTTGGGACTGTGATCTTGCAAACCACTAACAATATGTTCCATCAGATTGTCAGTTTCAATAATCTTTTTACGAATATCTTCATCATTCGCACCTAAGGAAGCAAACGCCTGAAAAATAAAAATTTAAAGAAAATGAGTAATTTAATGACAGTTAGTTGCAACTGTTTTAAAAAAGCAAAACAAAACATAAAAACAATCAGTTAAATTTGAATGCAGAACTTACCCGAAAAGCAGCTTGTCTCATTTCTGTTGATATTTTTATTTCCTGTTCTACAGTGATCATGGGGGTTTTAGAACCTATCCTTGGCTGATATTTTAAAAGTTCAGAGAGTGTTAAAATTAAGTGATTTGAAATCGACGCAGTTCTTTGCAGCTCAATATCCACTTCTGTGAGGTAGGCTAATGTCTCAGCTGCTTGAGCTCGTTGAAGAGGAGGGCGATCCTTTTTGCAAAGTCTTACCTGAAACAAACAGATGAAGGTATAGTATTGTATATCCTCATGACTGTTAATTTTGACCCCATATGAGAATCACACAAGCCAACTTGATGAATACTCACTAGACATGGCAAAGTACGATATAGAATCTTAGGATCCTCTGCAGTGAAAGCTCCTGCTCTGTGAAGGAATGTGATGCATCTGGCTGCAGCAAGTTGCATCTCACTTGGACGGTCTTGGGCCATTAACATAAATAGCAAGTCAGGCATTGACTTATCAACAAAACTGTGGGACAAGAATGATTATAATTTGAAATAGTTGTTGACACGTACAAAGTTCTTAATAGCCAACCAATTAAAGAATAATGTCATACCAAGGCTCCTGAATTTCAAGGCACCTTGCTTGTGCAACTCGTTCAGCCACTGTGGGGTTTTGATAGCAAAGGCTGGCCAGACAAGTCAATGCATGCATTTGAACAAGTGATTGAGTTGAACAAAGAAGCTGAGCTAACACCGGCACAGCCCCCTCATGAATGAGAAAGGCTTGTTGATCTGGAGTCTAGAGAAAATAAAAAATAAGTATGAGAGTTTGAAATTGCACAGCTACAAAATGCCAGACAAAACCAAGTCGAAAGTTTGCCAAACCTTGCAAGCAGCAGCCAGAATAGACGGAACACACACTTGGCAAGTGACGCTTTGAGTAGTAAGGTTCAGTAAACATGGTACTATAATAGAGTCCATAAATATGAGTGATACAGGAGCACCTGGTGACTGAAAGATTGTGCTCAAACATCTTAATGTAGCCTCAGTGTACTTCTGGTCATTACTGGTAATTCCTAAAGAGGGATAAAAACTCGATTAAGACAGAGTAACCAGATAAGTAAAACAATGATTGGATTAAAAATCAGAGCAAGTTTAACACTTACCATTTAATAATAAAGGAACAATGCCAAGATCAATTAAAGATTGAACATGGTGGTCAGTGCCCTTGGCAAGAGACCCTAACGTGACAGTTGCTTCAGTCTTCATTTCCACTGGCACAGAGCAGTCGCCTAACAACTGCATTAGCCTGGGCACTACTCCTTGTGACAACACTGAACTTTTCTGTCTGTTACTACCGATAACAGAATTTTTGAGACATCTGCAAAAGTTGAGTAATGTTAAATGCATCCATTTGCCAGGTGTCTTGCCAGTAAAAATTCAAATAGACTATTAAAATTAATGGACTTACACAATTGCTTCCAAACACTTCTCCATGTCGCTTGAATACAGATCATCAATGTATGAACGATAGCATTCCACTTCCTGCAACAGAAAGGCGATTGATTCATACACCATTCAAACCTTTAACCATCAAGCCAAAATATACAGGTAAACATTCATGCATTGTGTAAACAGTAAGACACTGCGCAAGGAGCAGTAAAACTGAAGGGCTATATACAACGGTGGTAACTAATATGTACACATCTCAGAGAACTAACAATGAAGTACAAGCTGTGGACAATGTCCATCGTCGGCACGCTGACCGACTCGCAAAATAAACACTCGATGACATGATTGTGCTGAACAGGTATCAAAATAAAACCAACAAAATATGTATATCCTAGATCTAAAACGGACAAACAAAAAAAACAGGTTAAATGATTTTATTCACTGTTACTAAATTGCCCCTAACCTAGAAAACTAAAGGAAGCTAGCCGGGTGACGGGCACTGACAAATAGCCAAATACATACAAGTGTCTCTTACCATAAAAGGTTGTTTGACAGGTAACATGTCTCAACAAAGCGACAGTCGCAGGGATAGAATTGTAGGCACGACTCGGATTTTCAAAAAAACAAAAACAATTAGAATTGCACATAAATTCGAAGAGGACAACTACAGGCAACGCCTTTAAAAGGTGAGATAAGACGACCCGGGCGATGAGGTGATGAGAGAACATGGAGATGTGGCTGACAATGCAGGCTTAATTAGTACAGCCTCATGTGACCCTCTTTGTCTATTCGGGACTAAAATAAACAACTTATTGCGTAATGAATGATCTTAACTAGTTTAAGTTAGTTTTATATTTTTCGAAATAAGTCAAAATTTGAGCAAAGGGACGTTTGAACACCAGCTTTCGCTGCTTTCGCCACCGCGGGCGTTGCTCGCCCACTCGCGGAATGTGGGGCTTTATTTCTGACGGTTCTCGTTAAAAATATAGTTTAAATATCAAGGATGGTCGATTTGTGTCACACATATTCGGCCTTGGAACTACTGTGCACTTTGATTTTTAACTGCCGGTGGTGATTCACTTGCGATGGTAGCGCTGTGGCGAAAAGTGAAAGCTCTCCAGCTCCAGTGCTCATCTCCCCTTTTATTCCTCTCAGGTTGAGCCTTATTCGGTAGCGAATTCTTTTTCGTCTGCTTGTCGTAAGTCTCCCTCTCTCTCTCTTCCTCTTCAGTTTTGTTACTTTTGACGCGAAAAATAATTTCAAGAGCGTGCATGTGTTTGTATGCGTGTGTCTTTCTATGTGTCTGTATATGGGGCCCACCGAAGTGGCTAACCTAGCGAGCAGACGACGCAACCGCAACGTCACCGGTGACACCTGAGGATTTTTGCAGCTCTTTGTGCAGTGAAAGATAAGATACTTGATATTTTCGGTTCCATACGGCGGCCCTTATCAAGTTCAGTGTTGGTGAATCAAGACCAGTGTCGTTTCCGCAAGAGAAAGTGTGAGCTGCTCTTACTCTTGGCATGTTGTGATGAGCTTTGGAAAATGGCTACAGGCCACTCTCACCAGTCTGTACAATATCATAACTACAAAACGATAGTAGGCTCAGTGTCCGCCGTTTTAAATCGTTACAAAGCAGTTCTGGAATTTCAAGATAGTGGCGCAAAGCAGAGAGCATTACTGAAGGTGGAGAAGCTGCACTGCAAGCCAGAATTAAATCCAGACGGGGCAGAATATCCGATTAACTACTTCGTAAATGTCGGAACCTGTGTAAAATGTTTGTGTCATAAATTTGACGAGACGGGCGAACATAGATGTGGATGGTATGTTGCTGATGTACTGTCTGTTGGTCTTAGCTTAACAGACCCAAAGTTATTAATGGGCTTGTGTCCATTGATGATTAACAGAGTTGGTATGGTTTCTCAACTTGATAAACGTCAGGGTATCATTTCATTAGTTGATGAATATGATCATCAACATGACATTTTATTTTTAGCTAGTAAGTTTTATATTTCTGGAAAGCGGATAAATGTCAAACAAGCTCTTAATAGTGTCCTTGTTCTGAACGATAAGCTTTATTTTGATGCTGTACCCGTAGATTTAGAGGAAAATGACAACCGTTTCTCCTGGTTTGCTACTGTAGCCTGGAAGCATAAAAAACCTGACATAGATTATGATAATTCAGTTACTGGCGATGACCCGCATCTTTCAACTATAAAAACTATTAATCAAAATCCAAAGTCACAATTTTTGAGGGGCAAGGGCCAGATTTTACGTATTTTAAATCATGAATATGGTGTTGCTTTGGGTGTTGTAAATAGCAAAGGAAACCACTGGCAGTCCATTTTATTTCATCGCTCCAATGCTTCATTGTTTAAATTTAAACTTAAAAATGCTGATTTACAACAAGTGTTTAAAAAAGGAGATAAAATTCGTTTTATTGCTGCTGCTGCGCCTGCAGGTTTTAACACACAGTGGGTAGCTTCTTATGTAGGCATTGATGTTTGTGGGTCTGCTAAAAGCCTGGCCAATGGAGCTGTTATTGATATTGAAGCGTCTGATGGTAATTTTAAAAACAAATGTACAACCCCTGGACATAAAAATCAATGAACAAATTTTTAATTACTTGGAATAGAGATTTAATAAACCTTGTGTATATTTTTATCCAATCAAACACCCCAATATTATGTTAACTGCTGCGCTTATGATTTTGTTTTCAAATGTGTTTTTAGTTTATCACTGTTGACATTGCGTTTCTTGCCCTATCTTCAGATAGATAAGTACCCCTAACCATTTTATTCTGTTTTTTTTTTGTAACAATGTGTAATGTGTTTTGAACATATCATGAAATTTATAGTTTTTCAGAACTTCTGTTATAAAATGTATAAGTTTCTTGTTTTTGTTGTTCTGCCTTTAGTAAAATATGCTCTTAAGTTCCTGCCTTTTATTTTAGTGTTCTATCATTTCCAATATTCATTGTGAGAGATAACAACAGGAGAGAAGCAATACATGGTTGTATGATTTCTTGCAACTTTAATTTAGTAATAGCACACACTTTCAGGTAAAAAAACAACATACTCCCCACAGATTCAAAATGATAATACCGGTAGTAATAATAACATTGATATTGCTCATTCTTTGCTGTAAGGTTCCATACTTTGGCTTGTGTGAAGTTTATCTTCCAATATGTGACACAATCCTTGGCAAATAAGATAACAAGGAATGTGAAGAAAATAGGGGCGTGGGGGAAAGGCAAGAATATTTGGCACATCTATCATTCATTTCTCACTGATTTATGGCAATAAAACCCGACATGGATTTTGATCTCATGGATTTATAGATAGGACAACTTTAGAGGGTGTGCTTGATGCACAAGGACTGTATTTAAAATATGCAGTCTGAATTTAAAAGGAACCTTAGGAATGATTACAGAATTACCTTCCATTCACAAAAGAAAATCGGATGGAGAACAAAAGAGAAAACCCCAACAAAATCTGGTCTTTGAAAACAGTTGAGCAAATTACATATTCTGTCACATTCCTAGCAGAGTATATGTCTATTCATAAGGCAGTGTTAAATTCTCCAATGCAGTAGAAACTTGTAGAATCAAAAACAATGTAAAAGTAGGGGACAAAATCTAGAAATGAGGTTCTTTTCTGCAAATGTCAGGGGCACTGAAGAAGTATCATAAACACCAAAACAATAGTATTGATAACTTTAACCCTTTGAAATAATCTTGCAGTCTCAGGTTTGAAACATAATTCTGATGATCTCTGAATTTGAACATTTATACAGTATGTGTTATGATGACTGGATGTAGTGTATCATAATAAATTAATAGTAACCAAGATTGGTTTATGGCAGATTTCAGGCAATTAATAGCAACAACTGACTAGGAACACAAAGTCCAAACGTTCCAGCACTTCAGATATAAGTACGAATGGGTCATAAAACTTAAAATCAGTGCAAAACCTGAAAGATTAGGTGAGACAATTTAAAGATGGGGGATAAACGCCATACAATATACCGAAATAGAGCTGCCTATTTGGCACCTACCATAGTCAAAGCAGAAGAAAACAATCAAGAGTCAAAGCTCTGAACAAGCCTCAGATATCAAAAAAGAAATTAAAATAAAATAGTACGTATGTGTACAAAAGCTACATGCTGCAGAAAAGTAATGAACTGAAGAATGTGAAATCACAACTGTCATGTAAGAACAGCCTTCAGGAGTTGCTAAATGAAAACAAATTGAGGCTTCAATTAAATGAGATCATCATAGGCAATCAAGACAATCTTGGCTTCATTGTGAGCTCAATCGCCCCTAAACTGGATTACTGAGATCACAACAAGGTCATGACATAGCAGTGCTTCAGATCACATTCTTCCTGTTGCTAGAAGAGCAATGTCTATTGATAAAATAGTACACGAAAAAAAGGAAACAACACAGTAGCAAACGCCCAAAAGTATTGTTGAACAGCTGCCTAACAAACCTGACCGTTTATAATTACAGCAAATTATGAGGAATGGCAGTACGGTGTGTACACAGATTCCTATTAAACCAACCCAGAAAGGTTAATAAAGATATATATGTTTTAGCTTATAGAAATGTATCACAGATTTTGCAAACATGACAAATATTAAATAAATAAAGCACAGGTTGGCAGAGTAAAGGAATGTATCAATTTCTAAACACTGTGCCTACACAGCATACATGTCTAATGCTTACATAAAGAGAAAAAAAAACATAACAGATACCATATTTTTCAATAAAAAAAGGAAAAACAGAACAAAAAGCATTTCATGTAGAATTACTATACACAATAAGATATGAAAAATTTTGGCCAACAATAAGACAAAATATTTATTATTAAAAAAATGTCTAGGATTCGTATCTACTATTGCCTGGCTGCCGCGGGGCTGACGACCATGCGCCGGTCCCTGCGGACGTCGCGGACGTCCCGGACGTCCCTGTCCCTGGAGGAGGACGCGGAGGACGACGGCTGGCTGGAGCTGGAGCTCACCCCGGAGTCGCTGGACCGCTCGGACCGCTCGTGGCCGCCGTGGCCGCCGTGGCTCGACGCCGACGGGTCCGCCACCCTGTCGTGCACGCCGAGCACGCCATGCAGGCCGTGCACGCCGTTGACGGCGGGCAGCGCCGCGTCGTCCTTGGCCTTGACGTCCACGTCCTTGTCCTGGAAGCCGTCGGCCGGAGCGCCGTGCCGGCTGGACGCCGTACTCGCGGGGCTGGCCGGGCCGTCGCCGAGCTCCTGGTCCGCCAGGTCCGGGGTCACCTGCCCGGGAGAGCACGCCGTCGGCGTCTGACTAGACTGCCCCGTCGCGGTCCCCGACAGCGCCGTCCGGGCGCCCCACCGCGTGGAGGACGACGACGACGACGAGCCGGTGCGGGGCAGGATGGGGGGCGGCGCCGCGCGGGGGGCCGTCTCCACCGCCACGCCCTTGCCGCGCGCCACGACGTACGAGTCCACGGAGACGGGGCTGTTGGCGCTGTTGGCGCTGTTGGCGGTCACGGGGATGTTGTAGGGCGCGGCGAAGGCGGCGGAGGGCGCGGGGGCGGGCGGGCTGCTGCCTCTGCTGTGGCCCTGGCGGCGGCCCTGCCTGCTGCTGCTGCTGCCGCCGTTGCTGCTGCGGGCCTTGCAGCCCTGGCCGGGGTAGCCGCCCCCGCCGCCCCCGCCGTGCGACTGCGACGCCACCCCTTGCGGGGGCGGCAGGGGCAGCCCGGTGAAGGGCGGAGGCGGCAGCCCCATCCCGGGCGGGAACTTCCCCGCCAGAGGCAGCGGCTGGGGCTGGCCGCCGAGACCCAGCTCCGAGCCCGACGAGCTGTCGTCCTCGTCTTCCTCGTCCTCGTCGTCCTCCTCCCCGCCGGAGTCCGTCTCGCCGTGGCTGTTGTCTGCCGCTGCAACCAAGGCGACAAGGTGTCGGGGTCAGGCCCAGTGTCTAAGCCATGGCTACGGAAAGAGTGGGGTTGGAGAGGGAAGTCCGAGTGACTCACTGCAGTCGTAGTCATGAAGAAGCCGGATGGCCGCTCTGATCTTGGCCCTAGTGTCCGTCGACTTGATTCCCAGGTAGTCCAGGTCTTCTTCACGGAGATCCTTGAAAGACTCAATGTCTTCATACCCATTCAATACGAATACAGAGATGCATTCCTGAGGAGACAAAAATAAAAGAGTGAATAAAGGTGAAAGAACTTTTTAAAAATCACCCGCATGGGAATGGTGAACTTGAACGCACCTCTAAGTTTACCCTTCTGAGCAGCTCCTCCACATTTCGTGGCCTGCCTTTCAGGTGAGCTCGAGGAGGCCTCTGCATGAGCCCTACACTGCCAGGAATTACTTCAACGTTGATGAACTTGAAGTAGCCTATACATCCCCTAAGACGACCTCGCCACATTCCACTGGGGCTCATGGCAAGTATGTCAATAATATCACCTTTCTAAAAGGAAAAGAAAGACAGGCTTTCATAAGTGGTTTTCTTAAGGGAATAGACACAAGCTCAAGCTTTACTTAACTAACCTTAAATTTAAGAGCATCTTTATCATATGGACTAGGATTAGAGTCAACTAGAGCCCTCGCTTGCCCGATCATGGGACAAGCATCGTGGCTGACGATTGGAGACAGGGAACTTTCATTGCTGCCCTCTCGAACCAATGCCTGAGTACCTGCAACGTTGTTTTGATTATTTTTAAAATCAGCAATAAGACAATGTTGAAATGGGATAAGAGGCCTCGAGACTAATACTCACTTGAGCCGGAGCCTGAAGGGAGGCTCTCCATGGAGCTCGCAGCGGGCAGGGGTTCTAATGGAATGGCTTGTTCAGAGCGCTCAGAGCACCTGTACCCGGATGGACCATTATTGCTGTTGGAGCCAGTGAGTCCTCTTAATCTAGATATTTTCCTTTGAACGTCTTGTCTTAGGCCTTTCATGCGTCCGACAAGGGACGTGCTTCTTGGCTGGGCCTCCATCTACGCAAGAACACATCCTTCCTCAGTAAGGTTGACATGGCTACACACCTAAAACAACCAGCCTTTCTAACGACTTACCTGAGGTTGTGACTCAATCAGATCAGGACTTCTACATGGACTTAAGGTGCCTTCGCTCTGACTACTCCGACACTGAAATAAAAAATAAAAATTAGATTTCAAGCTGACTATTTGCTCCATTGGACTCGGGTGGTACAAGCAAAACCTCTCACCCTGTATTGATGCTTTTTCAGCATAACAACGTGCTGCTGGTCCCAGGGATACCCGATGGCCATCTGCGAACTGGAAAAGCGAGAAAGTGTGTGTGAGAGAGACATATTGCCTGCTGACGGTTTGCCCCGACACACAGTGGGCCAGCAACCGGCGCAGGCGGCCAAAATTCCGGAAGCGTTTTCAGCTCCAGAGTCGCTAAATGGGACTCGAATCGAACGTGTGACCCCACCAATGGATTGCTCTCCGAACGAGGAATCCATTGGTGGGGTCACACGCTCGGTTTGAGGCCCATTTAGCGTTTCTGGAGCTCAAAATGCGTCTAGAATTTTGGCCGCCTGCGCCGTTTTCTGGCCCACTGTGCGACAGTGACTCGGCACTCACCTCACGTTGTCCCTGCTGCCGCGGAGGGCGGCCTGCGGCTGGCCAGGCTGGCCGGGCTGGCCCTGGAGGTAGCCCCGCGGGCCGCGCGCCCTGTTGCGGCCCTGGGTGCCCACCACCCTCATGCCGGCCAAGCCCGCCATGCCCGCCATGCCGGCGCCCGCGCCAGTCATGGTGCCGCCCTGGCACGGCCCGCCCACCGAGATGTCGCCCGCGCTGCGCAGCGTGATGACGCCCTCGTTGACCAGGGCGGGCCGCAGGTTGAGCGTGAGGCACGCCCTGCCACCACATTGTGAATAAATCAATTCATTTTTTCAACTTTTCTTTGAAAATGACATTAAAAACAAGAAGGGGCGTACCTTCCGTTGGGGACCATGGCTCCGGGGGGGACGGTCATGAGGAAGTCCTCCGGGTCGCTCTCGTACGGCGGCTCGTCGTACCAGTGGCCCAGGTGCAGTCCCTGCGCTCCCTGCGCGCCGCCGGGGCCCGACCTCCCGGCGGCACCCTGGTGGCCCTGGTGGCTCTGGTGGCCCGGGTGGCCCGGGTGGCCCGGGTGGTTCCCGGAGCTGCCCCCGGGCCCCGCCTGGCTGGCCGTCGCCGCCATCAGCTCCGTGTCGTACATGTAGGTGTCATCTGCAAGGCGCCCAAGTACACGGTTGTAGAGAGTCCGCGGTCTCCGAACACAATCGCCGTGAAACAAACTTCTGGCCTTACCGAGCCTGGAGCCCTCCGGTTCTAGTCGCAGCAGACCTTGCCGGATGTCCCTGAGTATCTGCCAAAGTAAACAGGGGAGGTGAGCACACAGAAAACAAAAAATGAATGGAATCAAAGTAGCGAAAATACCCATTAAAAATCTAAAAGGGAGGGAAATCCAACTGAGAAAAGGCCACTTTACCTCTTCGTGTTCCTTGTGATAGCGCTCCTTCTGGCGCAGGGCGTCTTGAAGTTTGAGCTGGAACCGCAAAGCATAAAACAGACACATTAAAAAAGCTCTCCGGGGGATAGCGCGCTCGCGCCCAGTCACGGCCCAGTGCTGCCCGAGATATGGCCCTTCATTTTCGGGCCGCGGCGCCGCGGCATGGCGAGTGCAGCGAGTGGCCGCGCGTACTCACCCGGTGAATGGTCTCCTCAAAGTCCGCCTGGGGGCCTCTCTGGCCGGCCGGCGCCATCCCCGCGCCCATCGCCGCCCCCGGGACCGCCCCCGGGACCGCCCCCGGGACCGCCCCCGCGACCGCCCCCGGCGCCATCGCCGCCCCCAGCCCGTTCATCTGCAGCAGCTGCAGCCGCTCGTACTCGCGCAGGTCAAGGAACTGGGGGACCAGCGCCGTCTCCCCGTCGGGGGTCGTCACCTGGAAAGCGGAAAAATAATAACAATAAAAAAGGCCATTTATTAACACGTTCGCGGGGGGCGGGGAGCGGGTCGCGAGCGGCCGCCCGATGCCCGATGCTCGCCCGATGCGGACACCGACCAGATGGGGTGGAAGCCGCCGGCTGCCAGCGGACGCGTCGCAAAAAGGGAGAAGGGGAGGGGAAGAGGGAGGGAGGAAAAAAACGCCTCAAACTTGTCGACTCCATCTCCAATCCCTCGCACACTTCGCCAAGTTACTGACCGCACACCGCTCACTGCCACTGCCCCGGGACCAGCACAGTGGGCCAGAAGACCGGCGGAGGCGGCCAAAACTCTAGGCGCGTTTTGAGCTCCAGAGTAGCTAAATGGGACTCGAACCGAACGAGTGACCCCACTAATGGATTGCTCTCCGAACGAGGAATCCATTGGCGGGGTCACACGTTCGGTTCGAGGCCTGTTTAGCGACTCTGGAGCCCAAAACGCGTCTAGCGTTTCGGCCGCCTCCACCGGTCTTCTGGCCCACTGTGACCCGGGACCGGACGCGGGGCTCGACGCACGCCCACTTGGCGTCGCCAAAGGACCGTCCAAAGGACCGGCCATTTCCTGCGCCACGTATCGACCCTATCCACGCCCGGGCCTCAAAATAAGGGCTAAAAAAACGCGAAAAGCCCGGCTAGCGTTACATCATTACGCGTACCCTCTCCGATCCGACCGACCCAACTCTGCCACCAAATCGCGTCCGCCAACTTTAGGGAATCGAAAAAAAAAACACAAAAAAAACAAACAAACAAGAAAAGCTGCGATGAAAAAAAAATCAAGCAAGGAAAAATGAATAGTTGGAAGGCCTTCAGTCAGCGATCCGAAAAGTGGGACGATTTTCCGGGCCGCTGGGCGGTGAAATTCAGGCCTGCGCGTCTGGGTGGCTGGATGGCCTGGACGGTCTGCATACATGAATAATACGGGCCAGTGTTCCGCACCGATCTGATTCCGGTCTTCTTCCTTTCCATTATCATTATTTATTTTATTTATTTATTTTCCTTTCGGTCCGACGAGTGACGCCCCGACACGGACACCGTTATTTGCTCATGCACGATGCATCGGCCGGCGTGGCTCCGGGCCTGGCCTCGCCCCGCCTCGCCCGGGCATTCGGGACACCATTGTCCTTTTGCCATTGGAAAGGCGAGCCCGGCGAGCCAGAGGGCAGGTAGAGGAAAAAGGGACGGCGCAAACAACTGCCCTCATTTTTCCCCATTCATTCTCGTCCTTCACTCTTCTATTTTTTTTTTGCGATGTCTTTCGCTCACCTCACCTCAGGACGCCCCCCCCCCCCCGCGCAGCCGCGCATCGGTACTCAATACCCTTGGACTAACAAGCGTCTTATTTCCAGGGCAGCAGGGGCTGCAAGGGCAAGGCACAGTGGGCCAGACGACCGGCGGAGGCGGTCAAAATTCAACAAGCGGTTTGAGCTCCAGAGTCGCTAAAAAAGGACTCAAACGGAACGTGTGACCCCACCAATGGATTCCTCGTTCGGAGAGAAATCCGTTGGTGGGGTCACACGTTCGGTTCGAGTCCTGTTTGGCGACTCTGGAGCTCAAAACGCGTCTCAAGTTCTCTCCGCCTCCACCGGTCTTCTGGCCCACTGTGCGAGGGGGAGGGGGAAGGTACTACCCGGCCAATTAGCGTCCATCCTGATTGAATGTGAAAGGGCCAAAGGGCCTCGGAAGTGGCGGAGAGGGGGGGGGGACTTGGGCTGGAGTGGAGGGAGAGGGGGGAAGGGCGTGAGAAAGGTTTCCCTGCCCTTGATTACCTTTCATTTCCGCACCGGGGCCTCAGCCAGCCTCAGCCGGCCTCAGCCGACGGCCACAAAATCATCGGATCCCCTTTTCACACCTCGAACCCACCCCCTCCCCTCCACTGCTAACGGCGAAGCAGGCTCCACTCTCACTCTCTCCGCCTCGTGCAGCGACGGAGCAGAGCTTGAGGAGTAGACTGAGAGTCTCGCTCTGTCGCACCTGTGGGGGACGCCCCATCAGTGCGAGAGAGACAGAGCGACGAAAACGACTCTCGGAATCAGCGCGCTGAACGGCCGGGCGCGGCTTCCTCGGGAAAGAAAGGGAGAGACACTACAAGAAGCAGCCGCCACTCACGTGACTCACTCACCCTGGCGTAGATCTGCTGGGCGCGTCTCGGCGAGCAGTGCTGCAGCGTGAGCCCCGGGTGGGCCATGCCGGCGTGGCCGCCGTGGCCCAGCGTGTGGTGGCCCAGGTGGTGGCCGGCGAGGCCGTGGCCCAGGCCGTGGCCCAGGCCGTGGTGCGCCCCCGCGTTGGCGCGCCTCGACGGCCGGCCCGGCCGCTCCCGCGTCTTGGTCTTGAAGCCCCGCAGCAGCCTGGACAGCGCCGTCTTCTTCTTGCCGCGCCCCGCCGCCTCTGCAAAACACATTCACATTCACATTCAGTGCGCCTCGTCACACATTCACATTCGCGGCCCGCGAGCAGACGAAACCATTTTCCCGCTTCGCCTCCGAGAGTTTCTACACTGCACAGGGGCTAGAAGACCGGCGCAGACGGCCGAAACTCCAGACGCGTTTTGAGCTCCAGAGTCGCTAAATGGGACTCGAACCAAACACGCGACCCCACCAATGGATTGCCCTCTGAACTAGCAATCCATTGGTTGGGCCACACGTTCGGTTCGAGCCCCATTTAGCGCCTCTGGGTCTGAAAACCCGTCCGGTATTTTGACCGCCTCCACCGGACTACTGGCCACTGTGCACTGACCTCAAAGCAACATATTTTGCTTTCATAAAACATCCTATTTTTTTAAAAGGGGGGATCACTTTCCCGTTTAAAGTGTAGGCCGAGTATAAACCGCCGCGCCGCCGGGTTACTTTTTCCCCGGCACCCTCTGTCTAACTAGATAAACGCTCCGGGTTTGAGGCAGGCCAGGCTCCGGGTCGGGGACGGCGGGGACGGCTGGGACGGCCCGGACGGGTCGAGTCTCCCGGAGAGAAAAAGGTCCGAGCCAACCTCCGCCGTTCGGGCGCCCCTCCCCCTCCCCCTCCCTCTTTCGGCCCGCATGCATTCTACAGCAATGGCTTCCAACTTTTATTGAGGGCCCGCGGACCGGGGATGGCACCGCGCCGCCCCATTCTAATGGCACCCCACACTGTGAAGTCCACACGCGCGGGGCCGAGTGAGAGAGCGAGTGTGTGTGTGTGTGTGTGTGTGTGACAGAGACAAGACCAGCGCAAGAAAGAGACCGAGTCTGAACGGTGTGAGTAGTGAGTCGAGTCGGCGGCGGCGGCCCGGCCGCCTGCGAAACGCCGGGTAGGCAACCCGCTCCGCTCCGCCGCGCGACGGGCGGGCCTACCCGGCCGACGGCAGGCGCTCGGCTAACCTGTACACTGGATGCCAAAAGGCGGTTTCGTCGCACTCACGGGGCGCCACGAATGGGTGCGGGGGAGACAGAGCGACGAAGACGACTCTCGGAGAATCAGTCTGCTGGCATGGTCGGATGGACTGGATGAGCGGTGTGAGCGGCGCGGACCGGCGGGCGTGACGGCGTGACCCCACTACTTTGCCGCCGGTATTTAAACGAACTCGCGGGGCGCGGCGGGGCGGGGCGGGGCGGGGTGCCCCCACCTCTCGTGCACAAACACGGCCGGCGAAATTGGATTCAAACGGCACGCTCATCAAGCCGGCGAGGGCGCCAGTTACTCGCACTGCGCACCCAGCAGCACACTGAGAGTCGTTTTCGCCGCTCTGTCCCTCTCGCACCTGCACGGGACGCCCCGTGAGTGCGAGAGAGACGGAGCGACGGAAGCGACTCCCGGCATCAGTCTGCAGCCAGCGGCGCGGAGGCACGCGGCCCGCAGGCAGGGAGGTTTTAGTCTGGCCGTTTTGCCGGCGGTGCGCTGCTGGCGCTGGGACTGGGGCATTAGGCAGCCACTCATCAAAGGGGATCCCATCGTCACAGTGCCGGCAGTGCCACTGCCACGCCACGCCACTGGCACCGGGTTTAGCTTCATTTCCCGCAGATTTCCCTGCTCCGCGCCGCCGCTCCCCCACCCCCACCCTCGGGGGGCTTCCCGGTCAACTTAGCTGCCGGCCGGCCGTGGCGGACCTCTCGGTGGATCTCATTACCCATTCAGTGGAGTGGTCGGATACCTCCTTCCATCCACACCCCCTCCCCTCCCCCCCCCCCGGTCGCTTCCCGCCACTTCCGCCCCTCGCCTCAATCCCAAAGCAGACAGCCTCTGGGGCCCTGTGCCCTGGGCTGTGCCCCGGGCCCGCCCTGGGTCTGCCCTGGCGGTCGCCGCGGTCCTCCCCGACCCTGGAACCCTCGAACCCTGGAACCCTGGACGCGGCGGCGGGCCGGCCTGCCCGAGCCTGCCTGACTTGGGGTCGCCGGGGACGCGGCGCGGCACGGCACGGCACGGCACGGCACGGCACGGCACGGCACGGCGCGGCACGGCACGGAGGGAAAGGCTGGCGAGGCTGGCATAACAAATGCACGGCACGCGGGCCGGGCGCACGCCGCACCGACAGCCAGCCCGCCGAGCCAGCCCAATTAGATCGGAGAGGGCGAAGCGAGGCGAAGCCGCGCAGCCAATCACGGGACGGACCAACAAGGCCCCCGACAAGGTCGCAACAACGGCCGCCCGGACCTCGCAGGTCGCCGTCGAGGCCCAAACATCAACATCGACCCCCGCGGGTCCTCGGTCGGTCCTCGACGCCGAGCCAGCGGACTGATTCCGCCAGTCGTTTCCGTCGCTCTGTCTCTCTCGCACCTACACGGGACGCCCCATGAGTGCGAGAGAGACAGAGCGCCGAAAACGACCCGCTGAATCAGTCCGCAGCCGGGCCGGCCCATTCCGCACCATTCCCATTCCAGAGATCGACGCGCGCCTCGGCCGCCAGAGTCGTTCTGGTCGCTCTGTCTCTCTCGCACCCACGCGGGACGGCGCATGAGCGCGAGAGAGACAGAGCAACCAGAGCGACTCTCGGAATCAGCCTGCGAGACGACGCCCGAGTTGGAGGCTCGCGGCCCAGGGCGCGGCCTGATGCAGAGGAGACACATCGCCCCTGTGGGGCCTAACTGCTGCGGCCAAAACTTTCCAAAGAAGAGAGCTCACTGTGTATTCTCGACCGCTTTCCAGAGATAACCGCAAAAAGGAGGAGGAGGAGGAGGAGGAGGAGGAGTGGGAGGGAACCGGCAGCTGCGGACGAATGTGGACCAATAAGAGATTCAGAGTGCCGCCCCGCCCCGCCCCGCCCGCCACGCCGCGTATACTTTTACGAAGGTCTCATCTTAATAACTCGGGCTGGGCCGGCCCGGGCCGCCCCGCCGCTTCGCATAAAACGCCCCGGGCTCACTGTCCAACGACCCAGTACTGTTACTCGGACGATTGACCTGAGCAATGTAACGTACAGTACCAATGCCGGCCGGGCCGCCCGCTGCCTCCACCCCGCCCCGCCCCGTTTGAAAAAATGTTTTCCGCTCTGACGATTCTCCTGCGCGCACGACGAGCCAGCCGCTTTCCTACGCACAAACACACACACACACCTACACACACACACACCTACACACACACAACACACACACACACAGAGACACTGTCACCCACGCAAACAGACTGGCACACACACAGACACGGTTGCCTAAATTCATACCGCCCCTGGGAGGGCGGGGCGCGTAAACGACTTACGGTGTATGAGCGTGCGTTACAATTTTAAACAATACAAACGGCACCGAAAGTCTTCTCGCGGGGGGGCGCGCGGGGGGCGGCGGCAGGGAGCGTAATACAGTGTAGTGAATGCACTTTTTGACCCGTTTCTTTATCCTTTCCCTCCGGCTAAATATGTTTGTTGTTGGTTCCGTCCTCCTTTTTTCTTTCTTTTTCTCTTTCTTTCTTTCTTTCTTTCTTTCTTTCTTGCCGTTTTTATAAGAAGGAGCCGGAAAGGCTTCCGGCGGCTTTCGCGGTGGTGTGTCGCCGTCGCGTTGCCCCCCCGGACCGCGCGATAGTCTGGCCGAGAGAGACAAAAGAATGTCTCGGGGGCAGACGCCATCCCGCGACACGCCGCGCCACAGTGGGCCAGAAGACCGGTGGAGGCGGCCAAAACTCTAGACGCGTTTTGAGCTCCAGCGTCGCCAAACGGGACTCGAACCGAGCGTGTGACCCCACCAATGGATTCCTCGTACGGAGAGCAATCCATTGGTGGGGTCACACGTCCGGTTCGAGTCCCATTCAGCGACTCTGGAGCTCAAAACGCGTCTGGAGGTTTGTCCACCTCCACCGGTCTTCTGGCCCACTGTGCGCACGCCGCAGAGCGGTGCGCTGCGCGCGAGAGCAGCGTCTTCTTGCCCTCTTTTCTCTCAGCGCGGTATTTTTCTCACACACACACACACACACCACACACACACACACACACGTGTGGCGACCTCCCCTGCCGCCACGCCGCGCCACCCAATCAAACGCCAACAAAAACGGCCCGGCCAAGTACCAATAGCTCGGGCGACTTTCCCCGCCGGTTCGTCTGCTCGTTATCGGGGTGCTGGTGGCGACGCACGTTTTTTGGTCTCTCTCTCCCTCTCTCTCTCTCTCTCTCTCTCTCTCTCTCTCTCTCTCTCTCTCTCTCTCTCTCGGCCCCTCACGTTTCTTTCTTCATCCCCCCTCCCCCTCACACACGCGCGGCGGGAGATCGCCCCTTCACTTTGTCTCCCCCTTCTCGCTGTCGGTTTGGATTGATATGTAATACTGGCGGCCGCGCCGTCCTGCATGTAAAGTGCGGCATCGGGGGAGAGAAGGGGGTGGGGGGAGGGGGGGGGAAGGTCACGGTGTCGGCGGGAGGTGATTCTACCGGAGAGGGTGCAGGGGGACCGCCGCCGCGCCGGGTGCTGGCGGTCCTGGAGACTGATTCCGGGAGTCCCTTTCGTCGCTCTGTCTCTCTCGCACCCGTACGCGACGCCCCACGAGTGCGAGAGAGACAGAGCGACGAAAACGACTCTCGGAATCGGTCTGCTGCGCGCGAACCTGAGTGAGGCGGGAGGAGGGGTCGGTCCCCGAGAGACAAGTGAAGGAGAAGGGCAAGGAAAGATTCTGGCGCCCTCACAGTGCCTCACAGGCCCCCTTGGCCGCCCCCTTGGCGGACCTCTCCAGGGGAAGGGGGGGCTACGCCGGCTACGGTATGCAGGTGCGGCAGTTCCCCCCGCCACCCCACCCCCTCGGACCGGACGGGACTGTGGCGTCTTGCGCGTAGATTAGGCCCCCGGAGAAAACGCATGCCGGGAACACCAAGCGGGCCGTGACGTGGGGGCGGGGCGGGGCGGGGCGGGGCGGGCTTCACCAAGACTGCCAAGGCCTCGCACCGTGGGGCAGCCAGCCTGCAGGCTGATTCCGAACGGTGCTTTCTCTCTCTCTCTCTCTCTCTCTCTCTCTCTCTCTCTCTCTCTCTCTCTCTCTCTCTCCCCACCCCTACGCAACACCGCGTGGGAGAGAGAGAGAGAGAGAGAGAGAGAGAGAGAGAGAGAGAGAGAGAGAGAGAGAGAGAGAGAGAGAGAGAGAGAGAGCGCTGTCGGTACGGGCCAAGTTCCCCTACAAGGCCCTACAGGCCCTACAGGCCCACAGGCCCTGCAGGGCGATTCCCTTCAAAGAGGCGCCCGGCTACTTGGAAGACACAAGTTGGCGGGGACAGCGCGGGCTGGGCCTCCTCGGCCTCCTCGGCGCGCGGGAAGGGCGGCCCGTCTTGGAACCTCTCGCACGCCGCCGAGTGGGACAACAACTTTAACAAGGCCTACAAAATTAAAAAAAAAAAAAAAACATACACAAAAGAAAACCTACCGAAACGAAAACAAAAACAGAGCTGGGCTCATTCGCCTCGCAATAACAATAATAAATAATAATAATTATAAAAATAATAAGTGATATAATTGAGAGACAACAGTGTGGGCGCGCCGGGGAGAAGGGATCGCGGGCCGGCACGAGAAACGACCCTCCGTCTTAAGTAACGAGCCAGCCCGTATTATTCACTAGCCACCAAACGGATGGCGCGGCCGCACGGCAGGGGCACGGCCAGGGCACCGCCAGTGCACCACCGCGGCTAGACCAGCCGGGCCGGCCGGGGCAGCGCACAGTACGGGGCACCGCCTGGGCACCGCATGCACGCTGGCTCATGTTGGGCCTACACCGTTAAAAAGGACGACGACGACAACAACAACAACAACGCTTGCGACGGGAAATCCTTTTGTTTCGTCCGTCCCGTCCCAGATGAAGAACGTAAGCCCAGCAAACTCGTTTCCAATAAAAAAATAAAACAAAATAATTTTCAATAACGACTTTTCCGCCCCTCTTTTTCGTCCACACGTTTTTTTAAAACAAAAGTCTCAATATTCCCCCCCACGCGCCGATCGAGGAAATATTCCACGCGGGCGAACTATGCCGAGGAGGAGTAGCTAAAACCGGGAAGCGTGATTCAAGTCAAAGGGGGCGCAAGTTACAAAAATAAGTGGGAGGAGGAGAGAAAAGAATCCGAAAAGTTCGATGGTTTTCCCGCGGCCAAATCTGGCGCGCGCGCGCATCCTCACGCCAAACTCGGGGCAAATATTGCTCCTGACGTCGAACCGCCCCGCCCCGCCTCGCCCCGCCCCGCCAAATAGCCAACTTGGCCCTGTAATTGAGCACAGGCGCCTCGGCGGGTAATCAGCAGCCCAGACTTGCTGCACCCTCGCGGGATTCGAACCCGGGAACTTGGAATCAATGGCACGAGGCGGAGCACCCAGAGGCACGGCCAAGGCAGCCAGCCAGGCACCAGCGCAGTCTCACCCTTTGATTTATCGGACCCGAGTACCGGCACTGTAGTGCACGGCTGCTCGCAGCGAAACCTCCATTTTAAAGTAAAACGGTCTTATATTTTAAAATTTTGGACTTCTGCCCCCTTGTCAGGCGACTTCGATTTCTGCCCCCTGCCGGGGAGCTTCAAATTGTAGCCTCAACCAGGGGGCTTCGATTTCTGCCCCCCTGGCTGGGCCATGGTTCCGCCACTCGACTCGCACAGAGCGAGACAAAGAGGGACGCCGAGGGAAAGACTGGCAGGGGCGCCGTCAGCGTCCTCGTCAGTGTAGGCGTCGCGTCACGGCGCGTCCCGCGTTACAGCGCCGCTCTCCCTCCGCGCCTCGCGGGGCCGCCGAGTCGTCAGGACACCAGTCAGGACCAGTCAGGACCAGTCAGGACCAGTCAGGGACGGAATCGAATAAAAGCACCTCGACTCCCACGCCGCGTCCCACGCGCCCCCGAACAGCGCGAGGCGCCCCGGGCTAACTCGCGACACGGCCCCGCGTCCGCAATGAGCTGCCAGAGAGAGAGAGAGAGAGAGAGAGGAGAGAGAGAGAGAGAGAGAGAGAGAGAGAGAGAGAGAGAGAGAGAGAGAGAGAGAGAGAGAGAGAGAGAGAGAGACCAGTTGCTAGCTCTCTCTCGCCCACACCACTTAAAAATATCACACACACACACACTTACCGTTGGGCGGCAGCTCGTAGAAGTACGCCGATCGCGGGCTGAGGCACCTGCAACACAAAGAACGATTAAGGATGACAACGTTGCGCGAAAATAAAGGCTAAGAGGGGTGCAAAAAGGGAAGAAAAAAAAATACGGAGGGACGAAAAAGTGGAGCAGGAGCAGCAGGGTGGGGGATACCTGGGCTCGTAATTTAAATCCTCGGCGTGCGGCGCTGTGGCGGTGGCGGCCCCTACAGTGCCTACACCGAAACGGCTAATTAAGCCCAAATTGGACCAATCAGAGTTTATTACTGCGTAACGATGCTGGCGACGCGCCTTTCGAGGCCCTTTTGCAAAACGCCTTTTGGAGCGAGTCGGCGGCCAAGCCACCGGTAAAAACGCGTCCGGGATCGGATTTGCGGCGCCCTGCTGCCGCGACAGTGTGGCGGCAGCCTTTATGCTCCGTGCAACGCGCTGCAACGCACTGCAACGCGCGCAGTCAGATCGAACCACCATGCCTTCGCATTGACAGCCGTTTCGAGCAGCTACGCGGCAACGTCTCGGCGTCGTGTGGAACGCCTTATGAACGCGGCGTCGCCACGCCTCGGCGACTCCTTGAGACGCCCCGACGACGCCGTGCCGCGTTCCGCGCTGCCCGGCCCAACCCGTCCCGGGCCGCCCTGGCCCTGCCTCGCTGCATATTGCATTCCCCGCCATTGCAACGCTGCGGACCGCCCCGCCCCGCCCCACAGTGGGCCAGAAGACCGGTAGAGGCGGCCAAAACTCTAGATGAGTTTTGAGCTGCAAAGTCGCTAAACAGGGCTCGAACCGAACGTGTGACCCCACCAATGGATTCCTCGTTCGGAGAGCAATCCATTGGTGGGGTCACACGTTCGGTTCGAGTCCCATTTAGCGACTCCGGAGCTCAAAACGCGTCTAGAGTTTTGGCCGCCTCCACCGGTCTTCTGGCCCACTGTGCGCCCCGCCCCGCCCGGACGAAGCGAAGCAAGCCAAGTCATGATGCAGTTGGAGGGAGGATGGCGGCCGAGGCAGCGCGCCCCGCTCGCTGTGTTCGCTGCGTTCCCCACGGCGATGCGAGCGGCCTGCCTGGGCCTGCCGGCAGGTAGGGGGAGGGGAGGGGGAGGGACCTTCCCCAGGACAAAAGGCCTGGAATCCCTTTTCCCACGAAGAGGCGCGAGCGCGCGCGGGGCGGGGCGGGGCGGCCGCCGAGGGGTAGACAACCCTCCACACTCCACTAACATACCCCCACTTCCGAAACCACGCCGAACCAGCCCCTCTCCCCTTCCCCACTTGCTCTTCTTCACCCCCTTCATTTTCGCTGCCTCAGTAAACGCGCATGGCCGTGGCGTGGCGCGGCGCGGCGGTGTGGGAGGTCGCCCCGGACGCTGATGTTTGTAAAGCCCTCTCGGCGCGCCCTCTGTATGTTGACGAGCGGGGCGGTTCGGGAGGGGGAGGGAGGGGGGAGGGGGAAGGGGGCTGCGACACGGCGGATCATCCCCCCGCTTTTTGGGCCCGGCCGCGTCACGCCGCGCGCTGCATAGCGCCTGCAGCGACACACACACACACACACACACACACCCCGGCGATGCTTGTGTCGACGTCGTCCTCGTGCGGCCGGAAGGGCAAGCAAGCGTCGCTGCCTCCTCTCCCCCCCCCCCTCTCTCTGTTCCAGCGGAGGACAAGAAAAATAAGTGAGCACAAAAACGAGGGGGGGGGGGGAACCGGGCACGAGGCACCAGAATTGAAGGGAAAGCAGGGCGAGGAGCATCACAGCGCCGCGCCGCGCCGTGCCGTGGCGTCGCGCTGGTGCACAAAGAAAGGCGATACTCCGTGATTGAGGAACAACAACAACAAGGACGTCAGTCCGCCGCGATGGACTGCCGCCACTGGGAAATGCCCCCCCCCCCGGTCGAGCAGCGCGCGCCTAAGCCGGGGGCCTAAATCGCACTGATAATCCGGGCAAAGCCCACTCCAGGTCATGTTGCCCCATACGCTTGCGGGGAGCCGGGGCTCGGCGGCCTGGCGCGGCGAAGTGCCTCTCCCGGGGGAGGGGAAAGTGGGAAAGGGAGGAGGGTGGGGGGGGCGTGGAGCTCATCGGTTCGACTTCACCGAGCCGTGATCGAGTTCCTATAAGTACGTTCCCAACGGCCCTCCTTCTTTTTTCCCCTCCGCGAGGCTGCGCAACCCCCCCCCCCCCCCCTTTTCCCAGAACATCATCAACCCCCCCCCCTCCCCCGCCCTCCGAGTTCCACGAAGCCGCTCTCGGGGAACAACTGTCTTTCTGTTGTCTTGGCGGTGCCGCGCGCTGCCGCGCTGCCGCGGCGCCGGGCCGGCCGGCGGGGTGGACGGAATGGGAATGGAGGTGGGCGGGGTGGGTCACTGCCGAGTCACTGCCGAGTCACTGGCGACGTGGCGGCCCGAGTCTCGGCCCGAGTCGCCGGACGGGGACCGAGGACCAAGGGCCGGTGTTGTGGTAGGCAAACACCACCGCGAAGGCGACGGAAAACTGATCCCGCCTGCGAGTCTGCTTCTCAAGAGCACACGCTTAGAACCTCACCAAGCACTTCGAGCGCAAGTAAGGTATCCGAACCGCGCCGGCGGCGTACTCACGTTTGGTATCCGGGGTTGACGGGCGGCCGGGGCGGGCCCTGCCCGGCCAGCCCGTAGATCTCGTCCTCCTCGCGGTCGCTGAGACACGAAGACGGCTGCAACAGAGAGACAGACAGAGCTCCGTGAGCACAGCCAGTGGCAAGTCGAGGCGGGGAGCGCCCGGCGGGCAGGCAGCGCGGCGCACGCAGCAGTGTGGAGCGCGCGGCACTGCCTACCTCCCAGGCGCTCTCCAGCCGAACCGGTCATTTGATTGGAGCGCGATCGGCAGCCCGGCGACGAGCAGGGGAGGCGCAGGATGACCAGAGAGCCTAGGAACCGGATTTATTCCAGCGATTCAGGCGAGAGAGAGAGAGAGAGAGAGAGAGAAAGAGAGAGAGAGAGAGAGAGAGGAGAGAGAGAGAGAGAGAGAGAGAGAGAGAGAGAGAGAGAGATGACTCACCGAGTACTTCCCCGGCACGTAGATGGGCTGGTGGAGGCCGCCGTCCCGGCCGTCCCGGCCCGGCGTGTGCGGCGCGTGCGGCGTGGTGGGGGACTCCTCGTGGCCCAGGACGCGGATGCGCGGCGACATGTCGGCCCACTCGCGGCGGCGCAGCAGCTCCAGGTGCTCCAGCACGTCGGCGTAGTGCGTGCGGTACATGTCGGCGTAGCGCGACGCCAGCCCCTCCAGGTAGCCGCGCTCGCCGTCCTGCGGGCAAACAGCAACAACACCGTCAACAAAGCACCAAAAAAACGACAAAAACAACGAGATTCTCGAGACGCCACGACACGGAGGCTCCTCGTCGCCGTTGTCCGGGCGGGCGGGCCGGGCCGGGAGCGCATAACCAAATCCAGGGCCTTTGTGAGGGAGACCGAGAAACTTGCACCGACCGCGGCAGTCCACCACCACCAAGACAACGGCGACGTCGACGACGTCCCCTGTCAAAATTTAGCGTCGCGCTGACGGCGGCGCTTGAATCCGAGCCGCCATTGTACTGCCCCAAAGGCAGCCGCCAGCCAGCCAGGCGCACAGTGGGCCAGAAGACCGGTGGAGGCAGCCGAAATTCTAGACGCGTTTTGAGCTCTAGAGTCGCTGAAAGGGACTCGAACCGAACGTGTGACCCCACCAATGGATGGCTCTCCGAACGAGCAATCCATTGGTGGGGTCACACGTTCGGTTCGAATCCGTTTCAGCGACTCTGGAGCTCAAAACGCGTCTTGAACTTCGGCTGCCTCCACCGGTCTTCCGACCCACTGTGAGACGGCCAAGCCAGGCAGCCACAAGAATGGGGGGGAACGAACGTCTCATCCTCGTCCCGCAGACGTGCTACAAAATTAAAATTATATCCCGCCCGCTCTGTTCCCTCTTTCACTGCTCCCTAAATTACGCATAAGGGTGTTCCCATTAACACGGAATGCCGAATGAGGCACCACCGTGGCTGCCGGCCGGGTCGCAGCCAGGCAGCCAGCCAGGCAGCCAGCCAGGCAGGAAGCCAGCTACAAAGGCACGAAGAACGAGGCGTCATGACCCACGCCACACGCGGGAGAGAGAGGAGAGCGAAACTCCGCGTCCGATCGCACAGCACTTTGGCCGCGTTGTCTCCCTCGCACCCCGAGTGTGTGTGTGAGAGAGAAGGACGACCCGCGCGGAGCGCGGTCGCGGTCAGGTTGCGAACAATTTTCGGCACACTAGTGCCCTACTAACGAACCGAGCGAGGGAGCGGGGTTCGCGGGGTCGCCGCCCCACCACTGCAAAAAGACAGGCGGAAAATTGCCCATGTTTCATCCATACGTGATGGCGAGGGAGGATCATTAATTCAGGGCGAACGCTCGGGATATCATCGAAACTAACTGTATTTCATGACACTCTTTTTCATTTGATGGTGACCGTGGTGAAAAAAATCACCCCGAAACGAGATCACTTTCACCACCGCAATCTTTTTCAACCACCACGATTCCAGAGCACGCACCGAGTGCACTGTTGCGAGGCCCGAGTGCGAGGCAGGGAACACGCCGCACAGTGGGCCAGAAGACCGGCGGAGGCGGCCAAAACTCTAGACGCGTTTTGAGCTCCAGAGTCGTCAAGTGGGACTCGAACCGAACGTGTGACCCCACCAATGGATTGCTCTCCGAACGAGGAATCCATTGGTGGGTCACACATTCGGTTCGAGTCCTGTTCAGGGACCCTGGAGCTCAAAACGCGTCTAGTGTTTTGGCCGCCTCCACTGGTCTTCTGGCCCACTGTGCGCCGACGCCCTCCGAGACCGGGCCGCTCTGTCTCTCTCGCACCCCTTCGAGACCTGCGGGACGCCCCATGCGTGCGACGGAGACGGCGCGACGGCGTGGTGAGGGCAGTGTCCAGGGCGCTCCCAGCGCGTCCCACTTTGCATCCAGGGGGAGAGGGGAGGGGGAATTCCCATTTTTTTCTGCAGCGGGACGAGACTTTTCCCGGCGGCGAAAATGAGGCAATCCCGTGGAGCCAGCCGGCTGGGCTGGCCGCTCGGGCTGGCCGCCAGCGCGTTAGCAAGACAATCTTATTAAAGTGGACAGCCCTTGCCGGCGAGGCGGTTAAATCGCGCCCAATTTCGCACGATTCCTCACGGAGCCACATCTGCGCTCTGCGCCGCTCTGCGCCGCCTCTACGGCCTCCATCCTGGCCTCCATCACCATGACGGCGGCCTCGCTCCCCGCCCCGGCGCGCTCCGCCCCGCCAGCGCGCCGCTGCAGGCCCATAACGGTACGGTAATCCCCAAAACGCATAGCAGCCACGACTTAATTTTTAACGAAATGCATTAACTGAAGCGGGCAGAGCGTACACACAGAAAGCGCCGGCACCGGCACGCCCGAGTGCTTTCGTCGCTCTGTCTCTCTCGCACCCCTGCGGGGCCGCCACGTGAGTGCGAGAGAGACAGAAAGGCCTTGTTCGGCCTGCGGGAGAGCAGGTGCTCCGATATCCTCATACAACCCCCGCCACAGGTGGAGCCGAGGGGAGGGAGGGGAAGGCCAAAGAAACGGGCCAAATAAATTGCTGCTGACAGACTTATCAGGGGCTGGCCGGGGCCGGACGGTATCAGCCTTGCCTCCCGTCTGCCACTGCCACTAGCGCTGCCGAATCTGCAGAATCTGCAACGCCGGGCGGGGCGGGGCCGGTCTAATCTCAACATTGGAAAAAGGGGGCCGGCCAGCGTGCTGCCAGCCCCGCCAGCCCCGCCAGCCCCGCCAGCCCCGCCAGCAGCCGTCTGGTGGCGGGCAGTGCCTTCGAGCTCTCCGTCTTCCTCGCACCCCTCCGGAACGCCGCTAGAGTGCGAGAGAGATAGACTGCGTCCTCGCCAGCGCCAGAGGTGCGGGCGGGAATTTCAGAATTTTAGAATCCGGCCTGCAGGCTCACTGTCGGCGCGCGATCTGTACTCTCGATGCTGTTCTTGTTTATCTTGGAGGTAGCGGCCCAAAGCGGCCCGCAGGGTTAGTGCGAGAGAGAGAGAGAGAGAGAGAGAGAGAGAGAGAGAGAGAGAGAGAGAGAGAGAGAGAGAGAGAGAGAGAGGTGGTCTCCATGTCTCGACGGCCGGGGCAGAAGGCGGACGGAGGCAGCGCCGCGACTTGGAAACAAAGTTGCCGGTGTGTTCATCAACATCAATGTTTTGCAGTTCGCTTTGTCGACAACTACGCGGCCCGGGACGGAATCGAAGCGGGAGAGAGAGAGAGAGAGAGAGAGAGAGAAGAGAGAGAGAGAGAGAGAGAGAGAGAGAGAAGCAAGGAAACAGAAAAAGGGCACAGCGTCCGAAATATCTTCCAAGAGCACGGCCTGCTTCGCTTCAACCGGGAACTCTCATCAGCGGCGCCGGCCCACCCCGGTCTCCGCGGGCTCCTAGGCGGCGCCGCGTAGCAGCAGACTGACTCCGAGAGTCGTTTTCGTCGCTCTGTCTCTCTCGCACCTAGACGGGACGCCCCATGAGTGCGAGAGGGAGGGCGATGCTCCATCGCCCTCTTTCGCCCCCTTCCCCCAGAATGCAACGCGAAAGAGACCCCGTCCAATACCGTGTGCTCCACCGCGCGGAGCTCCGCGCCGCGCCAAAGCAGGCCGTCACGCTGCTGGACGCGTCCGAGGCGCAGCTGCGTCTCTCTCGCACCGCTGCGCGAGGCCGCGTGAGTGCGACGGAGACAGAGCGACGGAGCGACGCTTCGGAGTCAGTAGGGGCGCAGGTGCACGGGCCGTGTGTGGCGGCGGTGCGGCGGTGTGCCCCCACCCCGCCGCGCCGCGGGGGCTGGGCTCGGCGTAGAAGGGGGATAAGACTCTAAGCAATGCTGACTGCCCAAAAACGGACGGGGCGGCTGCCGCAGCGCAGGGCTGCAGGGCTGCAGGCCCGTAGGGCCAAGACTCGAGACGCGCTCCAGGCCGGCCAAGGGTGGGGCGAAGGGCGGCAGGGCGGCGCGGACTCAAAGGCACACGCCCTTTGGCTCCGCGCGGACGGCCGTCGTCGTCCTCGAGGACCTCAGTGGACCCGGGGCTAATCTACGGTGGCCTGCTTTAAGGAGACGAGGAGGATGAGGCGCCCTGCCAGAAAAGGAGGAGACGGCGCGGGTTCAAGTCCCGGCAAAGACTTATGAAAAACAGCGGAGAAAAAATTAAAAAAAGGTCGAAAACTTTTACCGCGCGAAATTGTATACCGCAGAGGCAAAACGGCGGCAAAAACTTGAATCGGGAAGAGTAAATGGCATTCACTCTGGCGGTGCCCCGCGATGCCGCGTCTTACTCTCTCAGATAATTGGCAGGACAGCCAGTGTCTCGGTCTCCTTGTCCTCCTCGCGCGCGCCTCTCCTCGTCTCCCTCCTCCTTGTCGCGGAGTTCATCCTCATCCACTCACGCCGCGCCGCCGGCAATATTCCTGTGATCCGGGAACAATAGGGCCCGTCTTGCAAGTGCCGAGTCGAGCCGAGCCGAGCCGGGACATGGCCCGGGGTGTCTCCGTCGACTTTCGTGCCACAGCCCTAATGCCGCGGCACGGGGCTGCTTCCGAGCGTATCCGTCTCTCTCGCGACCCCGCACCCCGCCCCGCGAGTGCGAGAGAGACGGAGGTTCGGAACGAGAGTGCCGCTGCCGTGCTGCCGCGCGCAGTGCCCCGGCAGTGCCCTGAATAGCAGCATGGCAGCTCAGAGTCAACAATCGCCGTGTTGGCTCAGCACGGTGGAGCGTGGAGCCGCGGAGCAAGGACAAGACAGGTTAAGGAAGCAGGGAAGCAGGAACCAGGCGAAACGGGGAATGGAGCCAAGTGGGAGGGAGCGAGAGGGAGCAGACAGTCCCGCCTCCGAGCGGCAGTCCGCCCAGTGACTAGCGCCCGCGAACCAGCGGGTAGGCAACCCGCGCGCACGGGTGCAGTGCGCCAGAGCGGTGGCCTACCGCCTGCATTGCCATTACCATTAAAGGCTAGCCACGCATGAGCGTATGCCATTTCGGGCCCGACAGAATTCGGGCGGTAGCCAACCGCCTTCCCTCCTAGCGCCCCAAGCCTTGCTGCTCTGCTTGCGCACGCCGCACGCCCGGCGCAGGCCTCCCCCACCCCTCCGCACGCGCTGCTTCAAATAATTATCATTTTATGATATTTTTATGACTCCCGGCCACACAGGAAGAATGAGGATCGCGCTGAGCCGGGAACGCAAATTCCTCGTCTCGAGTCTGGAGTATGCATTATTCAGGCAGGCTGCTCGCCCTGC